CCTTTTTTACCAAAAATTGACTCCACCAAAATTTCTCGGGAAAACACTTTTTCTTATTAATTTTGGTGCGTAGAATCCAAAACAATTAGTACTTTTTCGATCAGACTTCTCAATCAAAAGTTATAGACTAGAAACCAATTTCGAAAGAAAATTCAAAGGGCTGTAACTTTTGAACTAGTAGCCCAATCTTGGAACTGTTTAAAATTATGGATTCTACAGGCCACATTCTATAAGAAAATTTTTTTCCGGGTCGATCTGAGACAATTTTTTTTTCGGGGCTCAAAAAAAGGCAGGTTATAACCTTCCTTTTTTACCAAAAATCGACTACACCAAAATTACTCGGGAAAACACTTTTTTCTTATTAATTTGGGTGCGTAGAATCCAAATCAATTCGTACTTTTTCGATCAGACTTCTCAATCAAAAGTTATAGACTAGAAAACAATTTCGAAAAAAAATTCAAAGGGCTGTAACTTTTGAACTAGTAGCCCAATCTTGGAACTGTTTGAAATTATGGATTATACAGGCCACATTCTATAAGAAAATTTTTTTCCGGGTCGATCTGAGACAATTTTTTTTGCGGGCCTCAAAAAAAGGCAGTCTTGTCTTTAAAAAAACCGCTCCATAACTCGAACTCGCTTAATAATCAAGATGAAAAAGATTCTCGGCAGCTGCTCGGACGGTAGAAACTTTTCACTTTCAGTAAGCAAACAACTGCTTTGTTGACTCCCACCCGTACTAACTTTTTCTAAATGTGGAAGAAATCAATTACAATTAGATTAGATAACGCCGCCTGCGTCCTCACTTACGCCGAAAGTAATGCGCACATCGATGACCACCTGCATCTCTTGTTATCAGCACTAGCACACGTGCGTTATCACTTTCTCAACAGGATGGTGCACCCGCGCACAACGCCCTAATCGTGCGAGAATACCTAGCGACAAATTTTTCCGTTTCCCAAGAAATTTGACTTTTTGTTACACACATGCGCAAATAAGAAGCAAATTCAGATCCACTTGAACTTCTTTGTAGGTTCCCTTCCTAATTTCGCAGAGTAAGGCATAATACAGTATAAAAAATTTATTCAACAATATATACAAAGTGTACATCGATGATGTATCTCAACAAAATGATATACTTTGTGATGTAACATAAAGATCTTTGGCATCACATTAGCTAACCTTAAGCCATAAATAAAATATCTACAGAGTGCGCGAAAATATCTAAGCCGCCGCTTCGTCTAGTCCGCTTTAGTTACGAAAATAACATTTCATAGCTATATAAAGTAATATACATTAAGGACTCCGATATTATTAGGCAACAGTGCATTTTGAAAATATTTTGTGCACTAATCACTTTAACAAGATTAATTACGTGGGTATCACACTTAAAACTATCAACTAAAATGTCATGGAACTGTAATGAACTGAAATGGAATGCATGATGTTTGAGTGCGACGTTCTGCTCTAAGCTTTACCCACGATGTTGTGTAAAATGTCTGCTATTTTCTGTACGGTTTTACCCTGTAGTATCGACCTGTGGTTACCTTCGAGCGGCTGCACCACCACCTTCTGCTTGCAAACCTGTAACAAATCAAGCGTCAAATTCAAAGTTCTCGAAGCGTCTTAGTTGATTGGTAAATCTTAGGGGTTAACTTCACGCATTTTTTACCTTTGGTAAAATGTACTAAAACTCCGAAGTGATTAAAAATAAATGACTGAATAAACAAGTTAAAAAGTAATCGTAAACAATTTACATAAAGCGCATTTCCCATTTGTAAGATGCAACTTCTGTTAAAATCGTAAAAATCCGACCACAAATATGAAAGATAGCGTTGCACATGGGCAATCCATTTTTGACGTGCTACTTCAATTTCAGTTTATAAGAAGAATTTCATTTCAATGCTTTTCTAAATAAGAAAATTGGAACTACGCATGCGCAAACCTAAATTTTGAAACTAATGTTAGATTTTCCTTTGTTCCAAGCGCCTAAGTATCAAATTTCACTTAAATGCTTCCATAAATAAAAAAGTTGGCACTGCGCATGCGCAAAACCAAATTTTGAAATTGGCGTTTGATTTTCCTTTATCCCAAGTGCCTATGTATCAAATTTCATTCAAATACGTTTATAAGTAAAAAAGTTTGCAATTCGGTTTATAAATGGTCGAGATGCGAAAAGGGCACTGTGAATTTTGAATCGATTTGATTCAACTTTTGGCATTGCGTATTATATGGCTAAAGCTATGCCCATATTGAATTTCATGCAATTCAGTTCATAACTAACGGAAATGTAAAAGCGATCGGACAGTTCTAAACAAAGTTATCTTTCACACGGACAGATAGAGGGACAGACAAACAAAGGAACAGACGGACAGACCAACAGGCAGACGACAGACAGCAATGCAAAATTATAAACGATCTCTAGGATCGTTAATAAACGGAAAAAGTGTAAAATTATGGAACATGTAAAAAACGGTTTTTTGTTTTTTTTACAATAACTTTTTTTGTAAGCGGTACAGAAAAAATTCCTTCTTTGGTACAAGACTCGACACCATAACGAACCAAATAGCGAAAAAAGTAGAACAATAGCTCTTAAGATAAAGAACTAGTAGCGTCGAAAACGAGCGGACGGACGGACGAAGTGGCCACAATAGCGCATTTTTTTTTTACTTTTGTGGAAATGCGCTAAAAAGATGAGAGAGCTCTGAATGAGATACTAAGGCAGCATGCGTGAAAGAAAAAGAAGGAAGTACTAATAGATGATGTTTGAAGGAAGGCGATTAAAGAAAACGTGAAGAGTATCTGAAGCAGATGATAGGAATGGGTCAAGAATCTGTAAGGGCAGCGTGAAGAAGGTAACGAAGAAAGAGGCTTAAAAAATGAGTAAGTAAAACTTACCGAACCAAGTCCATAATCCTCTCCAGCGGAAACGAAGTTATCGATCGCCTTGACTAACGTAATTTCACCTTTGAATGTGGCAGTCGGTTTGTACTTGTCGGCGGCGACGAGCTTGTAATAGAAACTGCCGGCGGCTGCTCTCACGTCCTTGTCCGTGTAAGGAGTGTGACCTGACAAAATTTCGGTTGCCCTGTTCAGCCTTTCCTCCCACGATTTCATGACCGCCAGCTCCATCATCACCTTGGCCTGATCGATTTCCTTGAATTGATTGATGAAAAAGACGAGCGCGCCGCTCTGTTCGACTGCGGTGTCGCCCTTCTTCTTGTTCTTTGTGTGAGTTGCGACGTACGAGTGCGAGCCGTCCAAGAGGAGTAGCTTGACGCGTTCGCCGAGAGTTTCGAGTTGTATTCCCATCTCGAAAGCGACGCAGGCTCCGAAGGAGTACCCGATGAGCGTGTACGGTCCTTTCTTTTGTACAGTCTTGATTTCGTTAACATAATACTTGGCGAGATCGTTAATGGAGTCCATGGGACACATAGTTGTGCATTGCAAACCATAGACAGGAACTTGAATTTTATCTGCTAAGCTTTGGAGGATGTGCACGCTGCCTTCAATGGGATGCACGACGAAGATTGGCGTCTTTTTGTTGTCAACTTCCTTAGACATGTTTAAGAGAACTTTGTGAGGCATGATGTCGACTGACAAATCGAATTGAACTTGTCCATCGTTACTTTCGTGTGATTTAGTTCCGTTGGTCACCACGGTTTCGGATGCGGTAACCGGAGCACCACCACTGGCCAATTCACCAAGACGTCCAAAGGTAAGTGCGCGAATTTCTTGGGCGCTCAAAGTCATGTCGTAGTTTCTCTCCAAAGTTTGTTTAATTTCCGATCCCATCAAAGAATCCATGCCCAAATCTCCCAACGAGGCGGTTGGCGATATGTTTTTAAGATCCTTAAGGCCTAAGATGTTTGCGACAGCATCCATGATACTAAGCTCGCTACCACTACCGGCACCCTTCTTCTTTTCGGCTAATACGACACTCGAAACTACAGCATGAGGTTGTTGCAAGAAAATATCCATGGTGTTCAGACACGAGGTAATGCGTTGTGGCAAAGTTCCACCGACTTCGGTTTCGTTTCCACCCATAGTCTCAATAATCAAACCCACGTCAGCGATGGCGCCCCATTGAATCGCCAGACCGGGAAGGCCGGCAGCTTGACGTGTCTCGCATATGCGCTCCATTGCTGAATTTGCCAGCCCGTAATTGGCTTGACCGGCATTACCCCGTCCGCAAGATACCGAAGAAAATACAACGAAATGGTCCAAATGAGGCGCTAATGCGCGTGAGGCTGCGTCCAAATGCTTAGTGCTGTCCACCTTTGGTACGGTGACAGTCTTAAAGTCGGCTTCGGATTGGTTCTCCATCATAGCATCTCGGAGAACAGCAGCAAGATTGAAAATACCACCAACCGGTCCCATTTCGCTAGCTTCTTTCAGTAGCTTGATCGCGCCCTTCTCCGTGGTGGCCTCGGTGGTGGAAACCTTAACGTTCACTCCCTTCGCGCGCCATCTACGAATGCACAGCGACTGATAGCCGGTCTTCACTCCACTACGCGAAGTGAGCATTATCTTCGTAGCCCCTCTAAATATTAACCAATGGGCGAGCTCGAGCCCAAAACCACCAAGTCCGCCGACCAGTACGTAGGTCTTATCTGGATCCATGTAAGTGCGAGCGATGGCGCTAACAGTTTTCATGGCCGGTACCAAATTCTTGCGAGTTTCTTCTTCGCGTATCTGCAACAATACTTTGCCAATGTGTTTTCCAGACGCCATATATCTAAAGGCCTGTTCCGTTTGGTTCTCATTGAACACTATGCGAGGAAGAGGTCTGACCGCTCCACTCTTAATGCCCTCGTTCATCAATTTGATTATTTCGGGTTTGTCACGGTTATCGGTACCCAGCAACGCATCCAGCAGGATTCCGTGGAAGGATGTGTTCTTCAAGAAGACGTTCATGCCCAAAGGAGAGTTGTTGGACAAGTCGACCTTTCCGATCTCGCAGAAGCGACCGCCCATCGCGAGACAGCGCACGGACGCCTGAAGTTGGTGGGCGGCGAGCGAATTCAAGATAACGTCCACACCACGTCCGCGCGTTTGCTTCATGATCAACTGCTCGAAGCTGGTGTCACGAGAGTTGCCAATGTTCTCGTCCTTCAATTGTGGGAAGGTCTTCTTTAGAAAATCACGTTTGGCTTGGCTACCGACGGTGGTGAATACGGTGCAGCCCATGTGAAGGGCGATGGCGATCGACGCTTGACCAACGCCACCGGCGCCTGCGTGGATTAAGACGGATTCTCCTGGTTGCAGTTGTCCTCGGACGATCAGGGCGTAGTAACTCTGTAAATTACAATCATTAGTTGCATTGGGGCATTTGAAGTGATTACAATCTGATTATTTTTAAGTCGTGGAAAAGCGTGTGTCTATTTCATCCTAAATTTTTATGCAAGGGACAAGAATTTTCCCTTGTGATTAACTCAATGAAAAATCAAAGAGCTTACCGTTCCATAAACCACAGGAATAGTAGCGGCTTCCTCCAGACTCCACTTCTCCGGAACTTCCCAGAGGAACTCTGGGTCGGCGATGCAAGTTGTGGCCAAACTGCGAGCGTCGACCATACCCATCACGCGTCGACCAAGATCGTCTCTTCCTGAAAACTCCAAGCCCATTATACACTCTTGCCCTGCCAAATCGCCAGGGAGCGCATCCGGAGGTAACTTTCCAGTCGCCAACATAATGTCACGGAAATTAAGTGGGGCGTAGTAGACGGTGCAGAGTGACGATTTACCATCGGGCCTAAAAGACGCACTAATGAAAATGGTGCGAGTGATTCGGACACTTACTTGTAATAAGTGAGCGGTCCTTCGATCCACTTCAAGCTGGCTAAATCACCACGGGTCAGTGTGTTAACGTAGGCGTGCTCCACGTGCAAAGTTGCGCTGTTGTTGTGCTGATCGAGCAACATATGGCGGTAGGAGCCCCAGGTTTTGTTTTTGAGCACATTGTGGATTAAATCCTTCTGTAATTGTTTCTTGTAGAAAGCGGAGGTTAACGAGAAAGTCTCAGCGTTCTTGTCTTGAATGAAACAGGCGCGAACGTGAGCGCCACCTGGTTCTTGCTTAAGGCAGTTCACCATTCCGACTAAACCGGTCAATTCTTCACCCTGGCACACCAGGTATATTTTCATGTTGTCGGTTTCGCTCTTCTTCATAGCGTCTTTGAGCGGCTCTACCCATGCAAAGTTAGTTTCCGTGATTGTCAACACGGATGCGTCGGCAGGTATTTCGGTGATCTTGCGCATCAAAACGTACGTTTTGGTTCCAGCAGTTTGGGTGGAGACTACATCCAAACCGAGCGAGGTGATGAGCTTGGTGTCGACTGCTTGTTTGGGTTCCTCAGTCAGAATGAAACCTCCAGCTTTCAGTGTGTTCATGGCGTTCATAATCAGTTCAGTCTTCTTGTGGAGCACTACGTCAGCGAGGACAATGAGGTGAACATTTTGATCAAAAGCTCCGGCCATTACATCTTTTTGGACGACTTTAATTTCGTTATTGTCAAATTCGGTGGTGTCAATGTGAGTTTGGGTGACGACAGTGTAGTCGACTGACAACATCGGTTCTGATTCGATTATATTTTTGACGTGTGTCGCCAGAATGTTTTCGACCGATCGATCTTGGGCGACTTCCATCACTTTAAGTTTGAGCGCGCCGCTGTTTTCCAATACTGTGTGAACCATGACGGAGAGGGCTTGATGTTGGCCCTTAGCGAAGTCTTCCATGGAGATGACGTTATCGTAAGGCGTAAACTCGTACTTCTCTAGTTTTGGGTACGCCTGCGATTGTTGACGTCTCGGCGCCAAGCTGGCCTTCATTCCGCGCAATTCGATTCCGCCGGACTTGATGATACCAATTTCACGGTGCATGTTTACGGTCATACCTGAAAGAACATCACAATTATGGCGTTTTTGTACGGTCAAATTCGCTTACAGTTATCGCCTTCGGCGTATTTCTCGAAAAGCTCCGCGTGCAGCTTGGGGTTGATAATGGCGCGTTGCAACCTCGTCGGAAGGTACAATTCGCGAGTGTTCTGTCCCAAAATTGAAAACTGTAGCATGGTATCGATGTAGCTGATCCAGTTCTTCTCCCACTTGAGTTTGCCGTTAATTCCGTAATTGTCGGAATTACTGATGCCCTTGAAGATGCCGTCGTAGTCGTAGCCGCGCAGTCTGAGCTCCTTGTAGATGTCACCGGTTGTAAGCGCGATGTGCTCCGGATTAGAATTGACGGAAGGTGGAGGAAGGTCGATGAATTCCCGCGTGACGTCTTCGGGGACGAATATTTTACCGGAAACGGTCACGGCTCCGCTTTCGCAGATTTCGAATTCGCCGGAACCTTCGAAGATGTTGATCAAGAATTTAACGGTGCCGTCTTTCGGCATGATTGTCGCGCGGTGGAATTGTACGTCCTCGATTACAACGGGCATTTGTTCGAAATCTTCGTTCCTCAACTTGGCCATCGTTTTCCAGACCAAAGTCTACAAAAATAAAAATGTCAAATTTTGAATTTTCAAGAACAAAATTTATTAATGAAGCAAACAGACCGAAATCCGAATCCGAACCGAAAATGGAACCGGATTCCATTTTTTTTATTGCATTTTTTTCTGTTTTGTTCTATTGTGATGATTACGTTCTCGTTATAAATCGAGCGAGGGGTGGCATTTTTTATTCCATTAGCCAGTGCTAAGATTCGAAACCGAACCAAAATCGCAATTGTTTTTACAACCGGAAATTGCCAAATTTTTCATTCTTCTTTAGCAAAATCAAGTTCCCACAACCAATTTTCAAAAAAATGGCGCGATTCGCCCCAAGCATTTTTGAAAATTCCCATTTTCTATGCGGGGAACACAAACATTGTATTATTATGAAGAAAGTTAAACAATTAGACCCAATTGGCTTCGCGCACTTTGTCAATTTTTTTGAAAACAAAAAACGCGAGCAGACGGTGCTACGGACATTTTCGTTTTGAAGCCGTTCAAGAAACAAAAAAGCGCGTCCGTCAGTATTGTCATGGCCCACTAATTTTTGTAAAGCTCATTCGCACTCACCAAATATCCAGTCGCAGGGAAAAGAACGCGACCGTCGATGGCGTGACCGGCCAAGTACGCGTCGGTGTCCTTGCTTAGGTCGATGTTAACTACGAGCTCGCCCGACCGCGAACCCTTGCCTGAGAAATCGGCGACGGACCATTCGGTCGAGTGGTCCCATTCGACCATCGAGTTGATCATCGGGGTGCCCCTGCCGACGGGGTACTGCACCGGGTGGTAGAGGTGCGCCAGTTGTGGCTGGGCGCCGGCGTTGTAGATTCTGAAATGGTTAGCTACTTAGAGAACGCTTTTGGTTGGGGGGTGTGGCGACTTACTTTCCGATCGCCGACAGTAGGAAGTCGATGTTGTCGGGGGCGTCGCGTTTGACAAGGCTGATGTTGGTTGTGTTGGGTCCCAGTGCGCGTTTGAGGATGGCCTGAAGAAGACCGTGGGGGGCGATTTCGATCGCGATCGCGTTCTCTGGGACGTGCTGAATGGCTTCGTGGAAGAGTACGGGCGAGAGTAGGTTGTTAACGTGGTAGGCCGCCGAACTGAGCTGGGCGATCGGGGTGTTCCATGCCGATTCTGGAATTGACGAGGAGATCCAACGCGATGTGCGCGGCTTGGGGTTGGGGATGATTTCGTCCAGGGCTTTGCGCAGTTTCGGGCCGGCTTCCGCGATGTACTTGCTGTGGAAAGCGTGTCCGGAGCTTTTGACGGCTTTGGCGAAGATCTCTTCGGATTTCAACTGGGCGACGAAATCCTCGATTGCTTTCGGTGGACCGGAGATGGTCACGCTGTCCTTGCTGTTGTGACACGCGGCTACGATTTCGGGTGGGCAACGTCGCTTGCACTCTTCCCACGATAATCCTACTGCGGCCATGGCGCCTAGGGGCAGTTTGGATTCGAGAATGGCGCGTCCTCGGGAGTACGCGGCCATGATCGACTGCTCAGCTGTAAGAGTACCATCGGCATACGCGCATCCTGCAAAACAACTTGTAAGATCAAATCCTCCCACGAAGACAAAACTAACTTACCAACTTCGCCAACGGAGTGACCTAGGATAACGTCAGGTTCAATGCCCAACTTACTCAAAACGTCAGTTAGCGCAATTTGTACAGCAGCAATAGAGACGAAGGAGTTCAGAACGTTTTCGAAAGTGGTTTCATTACCATTGATGATTATATCTTCCAAATTAACACCGTGTGGCTTTAGCGTTTCGGCGCTCTTCTTGATGGAGTTACGGAAAACTTCCAGTTGCATTAGCTGCTTCGCCATACCGGGCCATTGCGAGCCCATCCCTGAGAACACGAAGCACAGGGGGCGCTTGTCGAAGCCGACAGTGCCAATTTCACGAATTGGAGTGGGACCGGCAACTGTGTAACCCCGATAGGTGTGACCGACGATGTTCTGCGAGTGAATGTCGTTGAGGAGTGCCATGAATTCCTCGTCGGTTTTGTTCGCCTCGACACGGTCGAGGAGTTTCTCGACCGCTTCTTGGGTGCGACCGGAGACGACGGCCAAACGGGGAATCTCTTCGGATGGCCACGTGGTTTTCGGTTTGGGATTGGAGCGAAGCAGAACGTGGACGTTGGCGCCACCGAAACCGAAGGAGTTTACGCCGACAAGACCGCCGTTCCACGGCTCATTTTTCGCGACGACCTTAAAGCGCCCATCCAACAAGGCGGGGATTTCGGTGTTGGGCGATGTGAAGTGGAGGTTCTGGGGGATAATCCCGCTTTCCATTGCGATTACTAGTTTTGCCATGGAGCAAACTCCGGATGCTGGTTCGGAGTGGCCCATGTTGCTCTTGACGGAGCCGATGAGTAGGGGTTCTTTGCGATTTTCGCAGAACACATCGGCGATTGAGTTCAGTTCTTGGGGGTCGCCGACTTTGGTCCCGGTACCGTGGGCCTCCACATACGCGACTTCGGCCGGGTTAATCCCAACTTCGCTGTAGACTTCTCTGATTAATTTGTTTTGCATTGCTCCCGAAGGGAACGTGATTCCTTGTTGTTTGTGTCCGTCTGTGTTGCATTTGGCTCCTAAGACTGTTGCGTAAACCCTACGCGCGTTGCTTGCTTTTTGTAGGAACATAATTCCAACCGCTTCCGAGCGTACGTACCCATTCCCTGTGCAATCGAACGCTTTGCACATGCCTGCTTCGCTTAACATGCTCAGTCGATGAAACTGGAGGGAAGTCGTGGGCTGTATGCAGATGTTGCACCCGCCGATGATGGCGGCATCACATTCACCAGATTTGATTGCGGCGACACCTCTTTGCATCGCAACCAAACTGCTGGAACACGCTGTGTCAAGTGCGTAACTGGGTCCGGTAAAGTCGAAGGTGTACGACAGCCTATTTGCAAACATAGCTCTGCAGCTTCCCGTTAAGCCATACCCGTTGACTTTGTCTGGATCGTCTTTCCAATAAATGCCAGATTCACTTTCAGATACTCCGATGAAAACGCCCGTTCGCGACCCCCTGAGTTCGGCGGGGTTGAATCCGGCATCGACCAATGATTCATATGTTACCTCTAAAAGTATACGTAACTGCGGGTCCATGACGTGTGCCTGTTTCGCGTGCACGCCAAAAAATGTCGCGTCGAAATGGCCCAAATTTTTCAATTTCCCTGTTCGCGTGGGAAGTCCGTGAAGTTTTGACGGCCATCTTCTCTCGTCGTCTGTGACCAAATCGACTCCTTCGAAAAGCTTCTGTTTTAGTTCTTCGATGTTGTCACATTCGGGGAAACGTCCCGATATACCAGATATGACGACGTCGTCGACAACGGCGCTGGGCCCGTTCATGTGTGCGTCTGTTGCTCTTGCCGGCATTGTCACTTATACTAGAAAAAAAAATAAATTGAATTACTCGCCTGATAAGATACAATTGTTCCATTGTAATCCTCACAATCGCTCACAAAATGACCGGATACATTTAATTGTAACTGCGACATTTTTCGATGGAAAAACTTACTTATTGTCTTGACAGGAGCAGATCCAGACACTAACTGAATGTCAAGTGTTTCAGCATCGCCATAAGTATCGGGCGATAGTTTTTGATAACGATTCGTTGTTATCGTGACGATAAGATTGACATTGTGAAAACGTACAACGTAAAAGGTCATAAAGAGAGGTATAATTGGTGGTTTTTTGTCCTCTGAATAACACTTTTGCGTAAATAGATTATAAAATTATCTCAAAACCTGATTGTTAAGCTAATGAAGTTACGCCACTGGAGTATTTAATAAAATGCTCCTACGCCGTATCGATTGAAACGACGATACCAAACAAGCGCTCGGTTTTATTTACAAGGACAATCGATGATAATTATAGGGGCTGTTTTGTAAAATTTTAATTCGCCCCCGATCAGACCATCACAACGTTTCGAAAGATAAAATCAGATCACCTTTTTTGACCTTTCCCGATAACGATTGTTACGTCAAAACTGTTGCAAAAAAAACTGCGAATGCGCAATTTTCTCCAAAAACTGCCAATTTTGCATAATGTGACCAAAGGTCACGTTCTCACCATGTAACATGATGACGACGACGTCATGGTGATTTCAATTTTAAACTGGTTTCTATAAGTGGCATTACGACCGACGTTCAAATGAAGCCTCCATGGAACGAGAAAAAGGGTTTATCAAAAAATGGGTGCAGCGTGTATCTTGAACATTAATTCAGTAATTACGAGATTACTTGATAAGTAAGTGAGGCAAAACGATGTTGTGACCTACTGAAAGAAGAAGCTGTAATAGTATGTACTTACATAGAGGAATCTATGGTATCTCTACCTACTGAAAAGTCATAAGGACATTGCTTTAAGTAATTCCTCTTCCTTGTTACATCTAAAAACGCTTTTAAAAGAGTTATCACTGATCTGCTCTACGATCTCGAACCTTATTCCATGTCTGAGTATTTAAACATGTAATTCGGTACATTTGTGTGAAGTTTGTAGACGTTTACTGTTTTTGCAAAAAATCGTCCCATGTCTTTTTGGTTTTTGGAAACGCTAAACCGTGATCTCTAAATCCCTGTCTGCAGTGCAAGACATAACAAATACACCATTGGTTCATAACAGGTCCTAATGACCTTCACCAGTTTTTAATCTGTTATCGTTAATGACTAATGACCGATTTTACGTAAGACGGTTACAATGTAGGTTACGATCATAGCAAATACGCAAGCCAAGGTACTTGGTTTTCTTGGGGGGGCTGACAACTATTTATCTTTGCCTCCCAGTTTCCAATCGAGTTTCTAATCCACATGTTAATATCGTTACGAACTTGCTTTTCAACTGATAAGAACATGGATATTGCAAAAATTGAGTTTAAAAAAAAAATGGGATATTCGTCTTGGGTTTCAATTGAGGTTCAATTGTGACACCTCAAAAAATTGTTTTCTGCTGAACACAATTGTTCATTATCCCAAAAGACGTCGAGTCGTATACCGTGGTTGTAGTAACAACTGTGTAACTTATCTCGTTGCTTTTCGTGTTTTTTTTACACAATCCGTGATTAAATATACACATGAGATGTAAAACAATGAGCAAAATCACTATAATATAGTATGTATAGTACGTTGGTCTTGGTCTTATTACGTTATTCCATACGCTCTCCATGAATTAATTGCGCTATTGACGTCTGTTTTTTTACAAAGTACGTGGTAATTTGTTTTTTTAGTACTAATATTACCATAGAATCGTAAAATTCAGTTGGATAGTTTTTTGAATTCCAAAGGGGGACGACAATTCCATATTTAATTATGCAAAAACAGTACAAAAAATACCTTGAAATAAATTCGGTGTCTAATTATTAATACATCAGTTTCGAAAATCGGTCATTGTCGGGCTGTCGATCAATATTTGAACTACAACTCGAAAGGCAATTATTAAATTGATGAGGAGAGTTTTCAATTTCTTTGTAATAGCCGCACATCGCAAGTGAAACAGCTGATCCGAAAACAAGTTCCTAAAATGTTCCTTGGGAAAAGGACAAAAAATGGAAACGAAAATCAATTAAAATTTGGAAGTGGTGGTGAAGGCCTAAGTGCGGGTTGCCTACTCCTGCGAGAGCTGCTAAATGGCTACGTCATTTACGGTTTATATAATTGGACTGTCTAGCCCAAGGTCTAGCCACTCTGCCAATTAGGTATAAAATAGGGGGTGATAAACCCCGGAGTTATTAACCTCTGACTCCACTCCCACCAGACAAATTCCAGTTTCTGGTTTGTTGCAGATCTCTAGTCGTTTGATCTGATGCTAACTGTGCTATATCCGTGTTATATCTTTGTTGGGGGGGGGGGGGGGGGGCGGTCATCCTTTCCGATCTTTTACTAAGGTAGTCCCTTCTCTATTGCACATCGCGTCTCTGCCCCTCCGAGTCCACGTTTTGCAACACCGACAGCTAACGCCACCGACAATTTCGACGGCGCTTTCCTTCTTTACAATTTACAAGTATTCAGTATTTTCGCCCAGCCGCCCTCTCCAACGAAATCAGTCTTTAGCGTAACTCCAATTGCAACTATCGAAAACCGTTGTAACACACGTAAACAAAATGAGTCATTCTATTTTCATGCAATTGTATACCTGCAAAATATCAGTCCCTTATCATACTTATTGGATCAGATACCTAATTAAGAGCAGTTCTAAAAGCAGCAGATACGTAAGGACGAAATTCAAAAAAGTATACCTACCTAATCACAAAGAAAAGTATCTCATATCATTTATGTTTATGTATTTTGCGATTGTGCGTGTAAAGTAGGTAAACGCAACACTCATCCTACAATTTTAGCACACTACCGACTTATTTTAAACCGATAACGCTAGGTATAGGTACTCTCTCGCAATTAACGTGACAATTTGAAAAAAAGACGGTACCTACTGAATTTTATAATGATAGGTACCTGTGACTATGTATATATTATCATTTATTTTATGTGTTTCTCTTTATCATAACCGGGAAGGTCAAAGACAACTTGTTTAATTGGCGAATCTGCTGGTAACTTTATCTAGCTATTCTGCTATCATGATTAAAGGCTTGCTTTTGATTCGGCCGCTTGTTTTATATAGAATATACCTAGATATAAAATGTGCATTATAATACTTTTAAATAATATGTTTCGGTCACCGTAACCATACTGTTTCGATCATCGATCACAAATTAATTTTACAAGGGCCACATGCAGCCTCTGATACGGACCTACCGTAACCGTATATTTCGCCTGTTGCCCTCGCTTTGCTCAACGCCGCTGTGCGCAAATTTAATAAAGCGATAATGTAATTGTAAGGTTAATATTGTGGTAGCGAAAATATGAAAATAAAATAATGCAATCCGGATCTGGATCGCCGACTTGGTTGTTGCCGTCGGGATCTGAGATCACTCTTGGCCGCCTATATCTCAAACCCCACGTTCACTATGCTTTTAACATAAGCATTGCCTCTCTACCTAGATCCTTCACTCAACGGTAAAACTGTTCAATTTCCCTGTACCTGGTTCTGCTTCAAATCTTTCAAAGACTATGCAGAGCGCCTTCTCAGCTTTTTATTCCTAAAGAAAACAACACATTCGCGATAAACGAGGACAGGAGATTCGCCCAAAAGTTTCCCTTGATACGACTTCCTTTGAAGCTTGGAACCGGTGTCTCGAAGACGTACTTAAGGCATTTTCATCCCTTACTACTACAACTTTCGCAGACATTGAAAAATTCTGGGGTACCGCCTTAGACCATATAGTACATGGAGTGCTAATTGTAACTAAAAAATGGTCAAGGACATCGCCTGGGTGTGTGAGTTTCAGGGTAAACGAGTCAATGTGTCATATTTCCTTGTGGTTTTTTTTGCAACAATATAAGTGCTCTGAAGTAATAATAATAATAATAATAATAATAATTTTTATTTTTTTTATTTTTTTTTTATTTTTATTTTATTTATTTATTTATTTTATTTTTTAGGGCGCTACATAACTTCACCAGACACAGACACAGACACTAATCGTTACTTGATTTTAATCCGTGCGATTAGTTAACCAGGCTAGACCTGAGTTCTCACAAGATACACCTACCATAATAATAATAATAATTGATTTTATTCCCATACAAAATGATATACAGAGCATTCACTACATGAGAGTAAAACAAAAAAAAAATTCTTTTTAAGATATCTACAGGAAAAAACAAGAGGAGAAAAGAGAAGAAAGAAAGTGAATTTTTTAACATCAAAAAGAAATTTAATAGGGAAAGGGATTCTCTATGCACTAAGCATACAGCCCTGAGTTAAAGTGTAGCTTTAGTTTTTTTTTTTTCATCATTTTTGTTCTATTTTCAGCAAACGTGACTTAGTTATGCAAGAATAATTAATATACTGTCCAGAAGTGTCGTTTGAGTCATCATCCATTTTTGAATAGATTTTTTGTTAAGCTTACATTTTTAAAATTACTCGGTAAAACATTATATAAGTTCGAGCATCCCAGCGTCATAAAGTCTCTAACAAAAGAAGGCATCCCACAAAAACGATTCGTGGCAAAATGGCTGTCGTATAAATTGTGGGTCCGAACTTAGCATCATTCACGACCATTTGAACATGAGTAATGTGTCAGCGCGGTTGACGCCTGAAAAATATTTGTGCAGAATGCGAATTTCGCAATGCCATTTGGCAGTTTTGACACAAATAGTGACTAGGGATGAGAGTTGGGTGTACCAGTAGGACCCAGAAATTAACTTGGAATCCAGACAATAGATCCTACTCCAAAAAAAGGCTGATGACGACTTTTTTGCAGACAAGGAAGACATGTTTTTCCCAATTCCAAAACAATCGTGTTATTTCATGCTAAGGTAAATTTCTTTTCTAGTGTCCCTCGTATTATATGTTCAAAATCCCAGCTCTTTGGTCAGATAAAGACCATACCTGATCCATTAAAGTGGGGTTGGACACAACCGAAGCCAAATGAAAGGTATAGGAAGGTAGGTAGGAATTAGACACAGGGTAAAAACGAAAAATAGGTAATGACGTTTCACGCTCTATACTTTTAGATACATACTTATACAAGAAATGTCAAAATCAAATGTTTTACATTCATTTCTAAACAAAACATCCACGGGTAACTAGATCTTCCTGAATCAACATGGCTATGATGGCGATGCATTTAAATGTGAATTTCTTCTTTTGCCCTGTGTCAAATTCCGCAGATCATCATCATGCAGACAATGCTTTTATTCTGGTCGAAATTTAAATGCCGATTAGAATTTTTATCGGTATTAAACTTAAAACGTGTACATACAGGATTTCTAAGTATATTTTGGCCTCCACTTATTTTCAGTAATTTTAGGAACAGAAAAAAAATTTGTAACTGATTGAATTGAAATACAGGAATCCCCAACAAAATACATTTTCAATATCTTTAATGGGACACTTTGTATATCTTGATTACAAATATATAACATTGTATAACATTAGGTTCATTCTTTAATGACTTTTTGCGACTAGTATTTTAAATTGCTGTAATACATAATTGCGAAATTTTTAGCTAGCTTGAGCTATTGCGATCGCCGTTTTTTGGACAAGTCAAAATTTCATCAAATTCTTTTTGGATAAAAATTTTGGAGCGCCGCAACAGCACAAACTTTTTTCCAAATTTTTATTTAATACCTATTCTAAAGACCTTATTTTTCTGCGTTCAACCTACAAAAATTGCGCCACGATTAATTACAAAAAAGCTGAGAAAAAAGTCAAGGTTAAAAAACTAAAATACTTTTTGTCGGAAAAGCGATTCCTTTGATTTTTTTGACAAGTGAAAATTTCAGCAAATTTTAACGGCTCGACGGATTTTGTTAAAATTTTGAATATGTATGTATATTACCATCACGCATACAGAAACAAAAAATAACGGTCCGAATTTTTCTAAAAAAATTTTGGAGCGCCGCAACATCATCGAACTTTTTTCTTTCCAATTTTTATTAAATTATTCTAAAGGCCTTATTTTCAACCTACCAAAAATTTATTACAAAAAAGCTGAGAAAAAATTCAAGGTTAAAAACCTAAAATATTTTTTGTCGGCAAAGCGGTTCCTTTGATTTTTTGGACAAGTCAAAATTTCATCAAATTTAACTTTAATGGCTTGACGGATTTTGTTTAAATTTTGAATATGATTACGCATACGGAAACGAAAAATAACGGTCCGAACTTTTGGAAAAAAATTTTGGAGCGCCACAACGTCATCGAAATTTTTTCTTTCCAATTTTTATTAAATATTCTAAAGGCCGTATTTTTCTGTGTTCAACCTACAAAAATTGCGCCGAATTTATTACAAAAAAGCTGAGAAAGAAGTCAGGGTTAAAAAGCTAAAATACTTTTTGTCGGCAAAGCGGTTCCTTTGATGCATTTTCTGAGAAAATAAGAAACTAAATGATTCTTTAAAACCAAAAATTAAAAGTACGTATGGGATTAGGATTGTGTGCGAAATGTGAGCCTACTAATAATGGATAATAAACTTACAATTTACGCAGTGCATAAATGCTGTGGTATCTAGATGTTATGCACAATTGAGATTTTTGTACCCTGATCGTCACACTAACTGAAAATATTACTATGTGAGTCAATCTATCCCGTTTCCCAATAGAAACCGCCAATAAAATTTCAGTCGACGAAAAATAACTGAGGTAAGGTAGAAAATTATCAAAAAATGCAACTCCGAAAATGACCGTAAATATTGTACCTAAATGTATTAAAACTTTAGCTGAACCAATCAAGGAATAAAATACAATTTTGTATAGAAATTAAGTGTCTTTAAATTTGACATGGCATTTGATTGGCTTTTTTTATGCTAAAAATTGTTGACTTTTTCCAGCACAGATTACGCCGAAACATCAGCCTCTATATGAGTGTGGGCTACGCTATTACATACTATCAATTTAAATGAGCCAATGAGCGTCCAGGTACCTTACGAGTGAGGCAATCAGCGGACGTTTTGGTGTAATCAATATTTGGGGCCATTTTCGGAGATGCATTTTTTTTATAAACGTTAATCGGCATCATTTCTACTTCAACTCATAATCTAAATCGACTGCATATTTAAAATCTGTTGACATTCGCGGGGTATAAAAACTCCAAACCGCATGTCTTCCTTTTTGTGATTATGTTTCTCATAAAAGAAAAACAATTAACTAACTAAACATGAGCAATCGCAGACCTCACTGTGCGTGTTTTTATCTTAAATTGTTACGTAGGTACTCGGGCATCCGCTGTAGTTAAACAGAAAAATTAACTACATGAACTTATTAAGATCCAGGGGCCTACTCACAGTGCAGAAATTTAATTTCAGTTTGTCAAAAGATCTTATAAATGTTATTTCTGGCTTCAGATGTGCAAGCAATGCTGTGGTATCTATGTACTACACGTTTTTGGACCGGCGAAGGTGGTACCTATATACAGCTCGAGTTGTACTATACAGGGTGTTTTTCTGGGCAAGTGAAATAGGTTTTTGAAAATTTGTGCTTTATAGGAGTTACTCTGGGCACTGGTAAAAATGGGTTGCCATAAAGCAGCCGTTTTCCAGTACGTAATCAATTTTCAAGGTATCGTCTGCATCCCGCCATTTTTTTCTTAAAGATAACTTGAAAACCATAAATTGTAGATATGACATGTGGGTATCAAAAGAAGTAAAATTTCACGTGGAATCCAAAAATGCAATAAAAAATAAGGGTTACCATTTAAACTAAGGAAGTTACTAGCTACTTCCGGTATTTCCGAAAATATTTTACATCGATTTAGCTTTCAGAGTAACTCCAAAGCACAAATTGTCAAAAACCTACCTATTTCACTTTCCTAGAAACGTTTAACCAAAAAACACCCTGTATAACTGTACTTGTATTGAAATAACAACAAAACCAAAATGTGTAGCGAGTGTAACAAAAGGGTTACTTTGATGTTATATTGCGATGTGATTGTTGGGTACATGTGGAAAAGCAGCTACGCCTGAGCATGTTACCCTTTGGGTACCAATAAATGTATTAATGTAATCTATTAAATTAAGTTTTCTAGGAAATAATCATGACTTCATCCTATGATATATATCGGAAATATAAATTGGCAAACTCCAAAAATCGCACTGACAATATCTACCAGGTTAAAAAAAGCATCCATGGCAACATGTCCCACAGAAACAAACGATTCCAACAAGTGCCACTTACGGTACCCACTCGAAATTGATGGTAGGTACTTAATCAGATTTTTCCTACACAATTTAGTGAAACGCGCAATTAGCTTCACGAAAATGATGATTTTTAAAAGCGTAATTAATTAGTTTAAACTTACAAAAAAGCAATTTAGATTTACCCACAATTGTAAAGGTGATTGGTATTTTTGGAAGACTTCAAACGTCAGGGTTTTTTTCCCGTCAATAACTGCGATACCTATTAACCCAGTTTAAATGGTGAGACAAAATACACCCTTGCTAGGCGCGGCGTCGATATAATATAACGCAATTAACGACGGCTACCTACCCTTAATTAGGGGTGGAGGTCTGAATGAAAAAGTAACATAAAAAGCTCAACTTACCGCACTAATAAATCCAAAACGATGAACGTCACCTCAATTTTTTTGTAAAATAAATAATAATAAATTATGCGACGGAGACGACGTTCACTCTCTATCAACAATACTGAAATGAACGAATTTACGGCTGGCAATTTATTTGACGTTAGAGATGGTCTTATATCATCAGACCACGCCGGTGAGCCAATAGGATTTGCCGTGGCGAACTCGTGTATTGCGAATGCCACCGATTGTTATACCTATAACGGTCGATAATCGCGCGGAAGGCTCATCTCCTTGATCACTTTCCCAACATATCGGTCCCTTTTATCTTCAAATTCCCGACGATTTGGGAAATATCGTGTTTTAATAGTTCCCTTAGTAACATCGTGACGTTTTTGGAGCACGCTTTTTAACGGTGCGCGCGCGCTCGCGCCTCGCACGTGTATTATCGACTTCACCTTGCGGGAAATGTGATAATTGCGATGACATCAAACACATTTTGCCGATCTTTTCATTTGCGAAATTTTATCGTAGCCGGAAATAAAAATAGACCCACGGCGGTGCGTATCAAAAGTAAAAATAAAGCGTAGTTCCCGTATGAATGAATAATTTTTATACCTGGCTCGACCCAAAAGATAATTATGCTGCAAAATTATGCATCTCGCATACTATCAATATTTGGTCCCCTAGGTCCTCGGATGAGATTAAAATTAGTTGACACCATTGAATAAAAACAGTGATTTTATTCAATGGTGATACCTACTTTCTAACAAATACCCAGAAGAATTTTGCACAAAGATGTGCATTATTATCTTTGAACTTCATTACTTATTGTTCCATCTGGAGCTTGTACAGTGAACAACCCAAAAAATAGATGTTGGAATCTGTAGTTCTGATCTGATACTGATAAATTCAGTATAGAGGGCACGTATAAGCACGAAAATTACTATGCATTATTTATAACTGTACCTCAGAGGTAAACTGTACTAAGTCCATTTTTCCCCAAAAATTGCTTTTTTGTACTAAGTCACATAAGTTTTGTTGTTCTACACGAAAGATATGGATTTAGTATTCTTTGATGATAAACAACAGAGTTAGCGAATTTTAAACAGTACTAAGTCGCAGTAACATTGCGAGGTAATAAGTGGACTTAGTATCAATAGTTGTATTGTTTTGATGGACTTAGTACATTATAAGGAATATGTTTCAGGTTTTTTAGCGCATTTTTTAAGAATAAAAAAAATGTGCTATTGTTTGCGTTTTGTTCGTCTATCCGTCCGTCCGTCTGGATCCACTTCTGCCGTTTCGAACTACTTCTAGAGTCCAGGAATTTTTGCAGTAGGTAGCCTTATACCTTGAAGGTGTTCCAAATGGCCATCACATTTCGCTGTCTTAAAGGGGACCCCCCCACCTCCCCCCCATCAATTATGTCCTGAGATGGGAGTGGAACTGGTTTTATCCTTCATAGTGCCCTAATGGAACGTCTCAACGAAAGGAATTAATTTCTATCAACCATAGTCCTCCTCCTCGACTTCTTATCGTGTTCGGATATATTCCCTTATATCTCCAGGACGGATTATCGAAAGAGGGGACTCACAAAGGGCGATTGGAACATCTGCAAGAAATATATACATTGGTGATGTCAAAACTTTAAGAGCGAATATCTCGAAAACGGTTTGTCGGAGGAACGTACTCTCATAGGCAAAATCTGCAGAATGGAGTCTCGGAGAATTTTGAATGTATGCCAGGCGGTCTTTAAATGTTTGTGTGTAAAGAGCCTCCTCCCCTTATAACCCCTCCATTTACTAAGCTATATCGGTTAAACAAAAATGCGCTTTATCTGCACAAGGGTTGTGCACAATTTATACTTGTTAATTTATTATTTTTATAATATCCCATTTATGGCTGTCATTTTTCAATTTAAGTGTTTTATTAAAAATCTGCTTTAATCCTCAAAAAATTTATACTTGTTGCTTATCGTTTATGGAGGAAATTTGCTACAAAATGATGACCATTTCTTTCTTACAACAACGAAAAAAAGGAATAGTTGAACAGTATTGATATATTCTTTAATTTCGATCAAATTATTGAATTATAAGTTGTTTATCAAATAAATAGATTTTTTTCTAATCTGAGTTGTAATTTCATACAGGAAAAAAATTCTCCACGCCCTGTAAATGATGAAACATGCTTGCTTCCCCTTTTCGGGCAGAAATGTATTAAACTTGGTTTACACATAACAATAATAAGTCCATCATTCGGAACAATTCATAAGAGGTAAACAGTACTAAGTCTCGTAAAACAAAAATTTTTGATAAAATTTCAAAAATTCGACCGTACATATGTAAACTTACTAGTTATAAGTAACATGGTTCTTCATGATGAAAGTGCCTGTTCATGTGCACGATAACTTTGTTTAGAAGTGTCATTTTCTTGAGAATATACCTAAGAACAGTCGCCGTTGTTTTTCAGCTACGTAGACCAAGAAGTTACAAACCTAAAAAAAAGGCTTCTTTTATCATTCTTGTTACAAAGAACATAAGAACGTCCGGTTTTCTGTGTTAGTAAATATTTCCTAAACGTCAAGCAAATAGGCAGATAAGAAAAAAATCGAGCATGCCCAACTCAACTGTTATTTCCATTCATAGGGCATTTTCCAACTGGTGTTGTGTTGGTTTCTCCATCCGTCCGAAGCCGCAACTACTCCTACACTGTTTAAGATATTTATTAGTTCGTTCGTTGTGTATTCGATAGCCAGAGCTATTAGCAAAGAGTACCCATAGTACTCTTTGCTAATAGCTCTGGCTCCTAAAACAAGAAAAATCTTGTGAATAATGTGCGCATGCGCAGATTGCGCAATGTCAATTTTCTTATTATTGTTGATATATTTTTTTGAAATTTTAGCCACACATGCTTATGTAGTAAAGACAAACATATCGCATATAATATTAGGCGTGCGCATGCGAAGACTGCGCAATACTAACTTTATTTATTTATTGAGATACCTGTTTAAAATCTTAACCACACCTGCTTCTAGTAAGCGCAAGCATATCGCAAATTGTAAAAACTAGATGTGCTCATGCAGACTCCACAATCCCAATTTTCTTATTGTTTCTAGTTAAGAAAAACATTGCGCACATAGCTACGACCTGTTGTAAAATACTGATCAATGCATGAAAAATGCGCTAAAGTTACTCGCTTTAGGACGAAATCATTTTGTAATTTTTTTATTCACGATCCTCGAGATCGTTTATAATTTTGTATTGATGTCTGCCTGTTTGTCCGTCCGTATGGACGATAACTTTGTTTAGAAACGCCCGATCGCTTTGAAAATTGGTATACATGTTCTTAAGGATAAAAGAAAGGGCGCTATGGCTTTTCAGCTACGTAGACTAATGGGCCAAAAAAGTTACACCCTAAGAACGATCTGGAGGATCGCACACGGTATTTAGTTGTATCGGATTTTTGTAAATTTACATAAAAGTCAGAAAAATGATACATATAGTGACGAGCGTACCTTAATTTGCGAGTCCAGTCATTTGACTGACGAGTAGAAACTGGTAAGGTCCCTAACACAGACGCAGCATTTCCTCTTCGGATCGCTATGGTTATTCATGGAATTAAATAATTCCTGGATCTGGTTTCATTAGTAATACCAAGAATTTTGACGCCAATTTCACTAATAAACTGTTAGTCAGCGGCTCTCCGAGGACCAAAATTTTCAAAAAAGTGGCTGAAATATAATACTTCAATTTTTTATTCGCGCTGCACGGAGCCACATAGAAATTTTAAGACATGAATAAAAAGCAAAACTAAAGCCGAAAGAAAAATTTGATTTAATTTTTTTAATTTTAATTTTTTTATTTGCTTAAATATTTAAATGAAATTTCGTACCTATGCACCTCGAATAAAAGCAAAACTACTTCCGATTCAAAAAATTTGTTTTTCCAATATCGACACGTTTTTATTGAATTTAATCCCTAATTTTTGTGAATTTACAGGTAATTTTACTCCCTAAGGATTGCAAACAATTTTAAACCCTCTTTTTTGTTTTCTTGTAAAACATTCAAATGATTCATTTCCTTTATTTTCAGGACAGGTAATATTAAAAGCACAATTTATAGAGGGCCCTAAAGTATACATCTAGCTCTTCCTATACAGGGTGGTTTTTTTGGGAGCTTTAGTTAAAACTAAACGTTTCTGAGAAAGGGAAATAAGTAGGTTCTTAAAAATTTTTACTTAGGAGTTAGGTATTCTGAAGGTCGAATCGATGTAAAATATTTTTAAAATGATGGCGACATATCCGGAAATACCGGAAGTAGCCAGTAACTTCGTTATTTTAAATGGCCACCCCTATTTTTATTGCATTTTTAGATTCTACGTGAAATTTTCTTTTCTTTTGATACCCACATGTTATGTACTATTTATGGTTTGTAAGTCATTTTGATTTTTAATTTAAAAAATGGCGAATGCAGACGGTCCTGGAAAATTGATTACTTGAAAACTGTTGTAGTTATGGCAATCCATTTTTACCATTGCATAGAAAAAGAATGAGGCTTTCTATTAGTGTACTTAAAAAAAGTTATGTTGCGTACGACCGCACCTATGTAGATTCAAATTTAAAAAAAAACTTCAAAGACTAAAAACTCACTTTTTTAATTTTTCTTAGTATTGCATTTGATAGAGAATCAAAATTGGAATATTTTGATATTGTATGTTTCTATAGCTATCTTTAACAGTTTCTGACTTATTCCCATTTCATTGAATTGATACCATTTGTTTCAGATTTTCTTTTTAATAGTAGTAGTGATTTGTCACCAAATGACGTCTTTCTTTTAGGGTTACTTCGTTCCGTTCATGATTTTGGATATAACTCATTAAAGCGAAAGAGAAATATTGGTCATTTGGCCTTTCTCTTTGTCCGCCTGTGTTTGTCGCTTGTTGTCTATATTGGTTTGAAACTCCTAAGGCGAGTTCATGATCTTGGACTTTCGGTCCATCCGGCCGTCTGTGTACGGTGCGAACAGTTTCAAATTTTCCAATTCTGTTTTCAGAATTATCTTTATCATTACCCAAGGAAGAACTAGTTAAATTTTCAGTGACTCCCAGGACTTCGTTTGCTATATTTGTTACAAGTGTTTGTTTAGAACAAAACGTAGGTCACTTTGAACATTTCTTCTTGTGGGAAGGACAGGGAGAAGTGAATTGTGGAGATGCAAAAGATTGCTATAGTGGAGATAAAAGAGAAAAGAATGGAGTGGGAATGATACTGACAGAAAATATAGTTAAATTTGGTAAATGTCATATTCGTAGAATATGGAGCGATGGCAATGAAGTTGAGGGCAGGTCTCAGGAATTTACTATTCATTCGGGCTTATATAGCTAACACTGATGACGTAGAGGAGATGATATGTGGATGAATTGAAATAATCCTGAAAGACTAAGGACAAAGCTACTGATGTAGTATTTTGATGGGGGTGGGACGGTTAGGTTTGGGTGCCAAGAAAGAGAGAGGGTATAGACTGATCTTAAGAGCGATAAGAGTACTAAAGAGTTTGAATAATGCCAAAACGAATTTTAAAAATGTCCAGAATTGGCAGAATTCCTAGAAGCCGAAGAAACCGCACAAACCAAATAGTTTTAAAAATTGGAAAAGATCAAATAATTAAAAAGAATATTCCAAGAATTTAAATATTCTACATATATTTGACTCCCAGCCCTAGAAAGCTCTAGAACACTCGTGAAAGCTGTTGAAAAGGAATCTTCCCAGAGCATTCGAATATTTTCCAATTTCCAGTCACGTAAGTATTTTCTATAGTAGGTAATTTTACTATTTACCTTTGCTAGGATATTTCCAGAGCCTACACAAACACTTGTAGAAAGATTTCAAAGTCCTGGAAAGGCGCTGGAACGCTCTGGAGCATATTCAATTTTTCTGGAAATCCGTCAGATGGCTTCAAATTAGAGCAGTTATCTGTCTTTAAACAAAATTATCAAGAGCGTGTTCACATCTATCGTGGGAACACGGCAAACCACCACCAAAGCTTCGCCGCAAGCGCGAAAATGAAATCAATACTCTACGACGTGCACAGCCAAACGAGGGTTTGTTATGGCAATCAAATAAATTTTAAGACTCGAGCGAGTCCTCTTGTTAACTACTTCATATTATATTATATTAGAGTCTGTAAAAGATGAGCGAAGCGGTCGGTGATAGCGGCAGATACTCAAAGCTCGGCAAACAGAAACGTCGCAAAAGTGACTTCCACGCTAGCACCAATGGATTTTCAAATTTGTCTCCACCCCAAGACACCTACAACTCTATTTACGCCGCTTTTATTTTGGGAGGAGCTGGTTTTTTGCTTCCATATAACAGGTATTTTGAATTAGCCACTAGTCGAACTAATCGCCGATGTTGCAGTTTTATCATGGCGATGGATTATTTTAAAGTGAGATATCCAGGAACACCTGTTGTTTTTGATATGTCGTTAGTGTATATAGTTGTTGCCTTTATTACAGTTCTGGGAAACAATCTTCTTGTTGAGACTTTTACTCTTAGTGCCAGGATTAATTTCGGTTGGTGGCAGTCGACTTCCGACTAGTTTCTTACAGTAATTTTTTAGGATATTTTATTTCTTTCGTTACACTGATATTTGTGATTACGTGTGAGCTTTGGTGGGAGGTGTTTGGAGAGTTGACTTCTTACACGGTTAATTTGGGAGCGGTAGCTGTGGTCGCCGTGGGATGTACAGGTGGGTTCCCAATCCTCATCCATTCACACAATTTTGTACGTTTTTCAGTTCAACAGTCCAGCTTCTATGGTTACACCAGTATGTTACCGTCGAGGTACACCCAAGCAGTGATGGTCGGAGAAAGTGAGTGTTAATTTGGTTCGAAAGTGATACCAAGTGTCCTATTCTTTAGGCGCTTCAGGTGTTTTCATGTCTTTGGTGAGGGTGCTTACAAGATTATTGGTTTCTGAAATACGGGGCAGCACGTTTTATTTCTTCCAAGTATCCGCATCGGCAGTAGCGACGTGCTTTGCCATGTACCATCTTATCCGAAGAACGGATTTTATTCAGTTTTACATAGCCCTCTCGGACAGAGCTAAAACGCGGATTACGTTAGAGCCAACGGAGGATGCTGGACTTGTAAGTGGCTACCTCGAGTGACCCTATTCTCAATTCCGCTTAAACCAATTGGTTTAAACATTGGTTAAAACATTGTAGCCAGGGGCGGGTTCAATCAAAGGGTATTCGGGCAAATGGCATGTCGGATGTCCAAGGTTACTAGACCTCCTCCAGAACTAGAAAGCTCTGGTACACTAGAAGACTCTGGAAAGTCTTCAAAATCACATCCAGACCTTTCCAAAACATCGAACAAAGGTCCTTTTTACAGATTTCTAGATCATATTCAGCACTTGTACTTGTGTTAAGACGTTCTGGACTCTTTTCAGTGCTCTCCTGGGTCTTATAGGACCCTTTTCAGAATTTTGGATGCCATTTTTAGAACAGGTTACGCTTTGAACATTAAGAAAAGAGCCTTAAGCCATATTCTTGATTTTTCAGAGCTACTGAACCTGAAAGTTTCAAAATTATGATTGTTTTAAAAGATTCTGAATGTTGAATTACTACCTTATTAATGTGTTGCCTTGATACGATGAAAGAATTAACAATTAAGTACATTAAAAAATATACAAATTTAATTCATTATTTGACTTCAATGGCTACGAGGGGCTATTCTTCACGGGTCGATTTACTGAATCCTATCCGCCCCGGACTGTATTGTAACCGTTTGTGAGACTAAGGAGAATTATGGTTGTTTGTTAATACTACATTTTTAGATCGAAACCACAGACTCTCGGTACGGTGTTTTGAAAATACAGAGTAGTCCACCTCCAACAGGTACAGCCCTGAGCTTTACCAATCCGGTATATGAACCAAGTGCTCCTGCGCCAACGTACAAAGTCGAGGATGTCGTAATCAGAGGTCGCACCAGCACTAGTGCCCGAGGAGGTGTTTCCGGCATAAGGAGTAAGTTAACAGAAGTGCAGAATGAAGCTGAGACCAGTTTTCAGGAGGCATTCAATCACGATGGGAAATAACTAAGGCGATTTATCCGTACATGATCTCGATATGTCTGGCGTACTTTACGACACTCTGCATGTATCCTGGTGTAGTATCGGAAATTACCAGTTGCAATTTGGGGTCGTGGATGCCAGTGTTAATGATGTCGATGTTTAACGGCGCAGATTTGTTTGGTAAAATGATCTCGTCCTCCTCGTCGTATTGGACCGGCTGGAGATTGGTGCGCTTCTGCGTCATTAGGCTATTCCTAATACCGTTAATCTTAATGTGCGCCATGCCGCGAGCATCACCTCTGCTTTCCGAAGAGATTTTTCCATTTTTTTTCGTATTAGTGCTCGGCTTAACGAACGGAGTCTTCGGAAGTGTACCGATCATTCAAGCGCCGAGCAAAGTGGAAGACTATCATCGCGAACTCACCGGTAAGTTCCTTCATTGATCTATCTTGAGATTCACCTAATTTTTCAGGCAACATGATGACATTATCCTACAATTTTGGGTTGACCACGGGTTCCTTGATGGCGTATTTTTTGGAATCGTTAGTATCAAACGCCGATCCAGTCTGTAATTACATCCATGACAAGCTTCCAAATTCGTTACAAAATATTTCGGTTAATTTCAGCACCATATCAAGTAGCACAACTTTGGATATAACCACAATCGCTTCTGTGACTAGTACAATTATGGAAAATGTTTATAATTCCACCGACGAGAATGTTTAATAATTTTCTACTCCATTTTCCGTTTGTTGTTTTAGATATTGCAAATGTTTAATTGTGTAAAATAAAAAATACGCCAGCACTTCCGTTCTTTTCATTCTCCATGGTAACGGCCTAGCTTGGTCGATAGTTAAACATGTCCCACGTTACGTACAACACGGTATGGGCAAAAGCGCAAGAATTATTAACGACAACTTTGCAAAGTGAACCAACCCAAGCCGACAGAAGAGAGCAACGGAAGCTGCTAGCGACCCTCTACCTTCGCTACATTATAATAGCAAATTACCTCTCAGAATGCGTGGATCAAGTGGTCCAACCCCAGAAGCGAATGCTAATACGTAAACTACTGGTCGCTACGTTAGGAAGAATTTTGGAACTGAAATGTGACCTCGTGGAGGCAGACTTGTGTGAGTGGTCGCATTGTGGAGACGTTATCGAATCTCTTCATCTCAATCCGTTAAGCTGCGATTTAACAATACCAAGCTGCTTCACGCGAGAACGTAAGGAAGAGTTAGAGTATAGGAAGAGAACCGTCGAAGACACCCTCAATAAGCTCGGTTACCTAGAGAAAGTCCAAACCAAGATTCCCCTCACGGAACATAAGGCTATACTAATTATACAAACTCACGAACGTGCAAGGCAAGGACGATTAAGGGCTCAATTCATGAAGGAGATTCGAGGAATGAAAGATCGAGGAAAACCCCTCCAGGCGGATGCGGAAGAAGAGGACGACTCGCAGCGTCTCAGCTTAGTTGCCGCTCTCAGAATTCAAAAAATTTGGCGCGGCTACGTCGCTCGCCGACAAACCCGACGGCGCAAACTGCACGAAATGCTGTTGATTGGGATGATTCCCCCGCAAAAAAAGGAAAGCGAACATGTCAATAAAGCGCTAGCGGTCAGAGAAGATCGCCGCAACCTTCAAGAGGCTCGCGAGTGCGAATATCAATCCGCAATAGTGGAAATTCGCGATAATATCGAACGGACGCAGAGGGGTCTAATATTGGAACAGTTGGGCGATCAAGTTCGGACTTGGCTGCGAGAATATCACGCACATACCGGAAAAATTCCCGAATATACTGGCTCTGAGAGGCCGATTTCAAGATTAATGAGCAGTAGACAAGGTGAGGTTAGTTCCTAGTTCAGTTTTACTTAAGCCTTTACAGGGACCGACAGCGAGCTTAGCAAATCCTCCTCTAAAGAATCCAAATCGAAAAAGTCACGCAGCCCTAAGAGCAAGGACAGCAAAGACGAAGAGGAAGACGAAACCACTCACATGAAGGCGATTATCTCCGTCTTCGTGCCCGAGTTGACAATGGCAAAGGAAGAGTATGACGAATCTTGGGCGAACAAAAACGAAAGTGCTAACACCAGGCAACACCATTACGAAGACATAATCTACAATGAGCAAATGAACTCCATGGAGAATGAGCTGCGTAAAATTGTCGATGACATGATGCGCTCTGAACTGCAACTGTTGCAAGAAGCGTTCGACAAAGATCGCGGGTACAAAGGAAAAAAGCAAAAGAAAGCCAGTAAAAAGGCACGGAGAGGGGGAAAGAAAGCAAAAAAGAAAAAAGAGAAGGACTTGACTCCTGATCGCACCACCGAGTCTCTTTTTGAGGAGTTGATAGCGAACGGCATCATCAAAAGGTAAGCGTCCACCAAATCATATTTCTCCAACAATTCAGTTAATAGGTGCCCGGAAGTGTACTTAAAAGATTTCATCGGCGAACGCTCATACCACACCGCCGTCCCTCACAACAAGGGCAAAGAGAACGACATCGACCTAGGAGATTTTCGACAGATCCTAACCGAATATTGCATTCTACCGTTGTCATCAGACCAACTGCATCTATCAACCCCGCACATCAAATCGCTGATGATCGCCGGGCCGAAAGGCAGCGGCAAGGACGCCTTGGTGCACGCGATTTGTACAGAAGCCGGCGCTTTGCTCTTCGATTTGACACCGGCGAATATCGTCGGAAAGTATCCGGGAAAATCTGGCCTGACGATGTTGATCCACCTAGTTTTAAAGGTGGCCAGACTGCTGCCGCCTGCCGTAATCTACATGGATAACGCGGAAAGGCCGTTCGTCAAGAAGATTCCTAAAACTGACACGACCGATCCGAAAAGGTTGAAGAAGGACTTGCCGAAAATTGTGAAGGGTAAACATCCGCTTCGGTTGGACTCTTTGTAATGCTCGTTTTAGGTTTCAGCTCAGATGAGAGGATCATGCTGATTGGTGTTACGAGTTGTCCTTGGGAGTCTGACCAGAAGTTATTGCAGCAGGTTTATCAAAAGTTTCTCTCCATACCCAGGGCGGGGTATAACTCCAGGTATCTTGTATGGAAAACACTTTTGGGAAAATTTTCCGCGATCAGTTGGCAATTTGATATTAGCGGAATGAGTAGAATTTCGGATGGATTTACTGTTGGTAGGTCACCTTCGCCAAAGATGAATATATTATGGTTTTCTGCTGTAGGTTCGATCATGGAAACGGTGCAAGAGGTAATAACCGTTAAACGAATGCTGAGGTTGCGTGTGCTACCACTGAGTCCCTTAGAGTTGATTAACGTGCTGTGTAAGAAGACTCCGGTTTATCGAGAGGAAGATGAGGCGTTTGAACTGTGGTGGTCTAAAACGCCGTTAGCCAAAAGGAGATCTCAAGCTGTTGAGGCGTATTTGGAGGAGCAAGCCGAACTTCAAGCAAAACAAGCAAGCGCCAAGAAAAATAAGTGATAGATTGAGGACATTTGGGTTCCGTTCCGAAAAGTGTGAATTAGAATATTTATATAACTCGCACTGAATCATTTTCATTTTTTTTTTCGTTTGTGTACTTATTGTGTATGTGAGGTGTTCTCAAATAATGTCGTTTTTGCCTTTTTGGCCTGTGTGTATCTCAATGATTTGTTAATGTATTGTACGTTAATCGTCAGTAATTATAAATTTTGTAATTATACAATGGTTTTGGAAGAACCAAAAGAAAACCAGGGGGATCAAACAATGTCCGTTTCCCCAAGGCTCTTCGCGATAGCACTTGACTACGCTATAGAACAAACAAGAATGGTGGTGAGGAACCTTAGCATAGGCGACCAATTACAACTACCGACATTACTGGCGTACGCGGACGATCTACTCGTAATCGCGGATAATTTATAAGACACTGAGGACTTCGTCCAGGCCATCGGGATACCAGGTAGGTACACTCGGAAATGGTGGACCTACAAATATACAACGAAAAGAGCTACATGATGACAAGAGTGCCAGGAAACAACACCCCCAGTACAAAGAAGGAGAGAAGACCATAATAGCCGAGAAGGAGATAACCATGAAGCACAAGATCAAATATATGGGAACGTATGTACATAAGCAGCACCCTCAGCAGGCACCACGCAGTGAAAGACAGAATAACCAACGCATTCAGAATCACACACGGAATCTGGAACTTCATACGAGCGAAGAAAATACCGGACAGCTTGAAATGATGATTTACAACACGATCGTAGCACCGACAATCTTATACGGAATTAACACTTCAGCGCCAACAAAGAGCAACAGACGAACATTGAGGAGGGCGGAGTGGAAGGCACTCAGGATACTGAAGAAAACAGCAACCTCACAAGAAAGCAGAGAAGAGAACTATTAGAGGAAAAGACGATTGCCAGGAGACTGAAGATGAGGCAGATGAGATACTGGGGACATACCAACAGGAGGAACAAAGACCATATCATCCGGGCTGCCAAGATTCTATGTGCCTCGGAATGGAAGGTAGGCCGACCCTGCCAAACATGGAACACCACCATAAACCAAACGGTAGAGGTCCCGGGGATTACCATGGGAAGATGGGAAGAGAATAGCAGAAACAAACATCAAAGGAAGAAAGAAAGCAGAAAAATACTGGAGGTGGAGGAAGAATCAGCCACAAGGACAAGTAGCCAAGGGGAGGAGGAAAAGGGGACAGAAAGTAATGCGGGGAGGACAACAATAAAAAGAGCCTAACACGAGGGAAAACAGGGAAGGGAACGAGACCAAAGGATAGGAACATCGGAAGCCAATGAACGCCCGGAGAAGAAGCTATCACTAGAAAGCAGAGTTCCCTCTAAGGCAGAATACCAGTGGCGAAGCTGTGGCCGTACCCGTTCGGGTCGGATAACACCCAGTTAGCCGCCCCCCCCCACAACCCCCCCAATCCACAAAATCCACCACATTGTTTGGCATATGTCGCGGCCCAGCGCGATGGCAACAAAGTAGTGGAGAAACGTCCCTGATAGTGTCTACCAGGGACGCATCCTCACGACAGTTGACTAAATCCTGGGAGAGGCGGCGACGCCAGGCATATGTCAAAGTTTGAAGTTTGAAAAAATTAGTGTTTATTCTACCTATACCATCTGACACAAAAAAGGAACTAATTTCTGGAAAACTGACGGTGTAATGCAACTTTTAATTGCATTTTTTTCCCATACTGTCATTCATTCAGTTTTGAGGTTGCTTAACCGTTTTTGAAATGTTCTGGAAAAGGTCTCAACAGTTCTGAAAATGAATGGTAGAAGGTCATGGTAAAGAGTACCCATAGTTTACTCTTTGGCATGGAAGTCTGATTGGTTGAAATGAGAAGAATCTCTCCAGAAAGCTAATGTTTTTCATAGCCATAGAAAATGCTTTCAGGATTTCAATAGTAGAGATCCAAAATGCAAACCGTTCCCCATTTTTTGTCTGTTTGTGTTTTGGATCTCCATTAACGGTTGACCCCATTGTGAGAAAACTAAGATCAAGATGGACCTCAACAATTATTTCAAAAGTGCTTTTCAGAGCATTTCTAGGGTAATATGTAACCTATTTCTAAAGCTTTCTAGATCTTCCTTGGGCTTTGCAATTTGACTAGAAAGGCAAGGGACATTAAGACACTTGAAGTGCCATCTTGGGACCTTGAAGCGCACTATAAGTTAACGTAACGTGAACGCCAAGGAGCCACAGACGGGCTCATCATCACTCAAGTCATCTGTTGCCTGTCAAGTGAATGTCAAAAATATGGCTAAACAATTGAACTTTTCTTATCAAATTGTCAGCGCGTAAATAAAATATTTTAAAAAATTCTTCATTTTGTACTAAGACATTAGAATGCTTTTCAATTTTGAAGTGTCCAAATTGTGATATCGGGCCATGAACGTCGTCGTATTAGTGTTTAAATGATTGGAATTTGTGATGTTGCCAGAAATTTCCAGGGGCTGCCTTAGACAAAAAAACTCATCGTCGTCGGTATTTCCTTATAAACATATAATTAGTAAAATTAGAAAATGATTTTGTAATAGCCAAGTGAGTATAACGAGGAGAATGGGTGCTAAACCGAGTACGGCAAACGGAACTCAAAGTCCTCGGGCCAGAACTTTTTCAACAAGCAGCAGTTCGGAGGTTGTCACCACGCCCGCCGGCTTTCGTCTCTTACGTACGATTCCCGGCATCGACGTGTCTAGTGATAGACAACGTGCGAGATCTCTGTCTAGTGTACCCGATTTGCATTCTAGTCACGAAACTCTTTCGATGCCTCCGACGGGTGTTAGCTTTGATATCTCGGCGAGCCCCGAAACCGATAGCAGCTCCACTGAAGAAGCACCTATCGGCGGCAGCTCGGCTGCCAGTATAGCACTAGGAAGAGTTTACGCTGCCCATTCTTTACCGTCTCATATTTGGTCTTTGAATGGTAAGTCTAATTTAAGTAATGGTTCATTATTGCCACCCGTGGCATAAAATCGGGTTAATATGCTATAATTAGCTTAATTAGGCTTAATTGTGTAGTCCAGTTTCGGGTCCTGATTTTGTTGGAGCAGTATTTTTACTACCAATAAAGATAAAGAAAGAAACTATGAAATTAGTCAAGTTCCCACTTTATTTAAAAAAATTCTATGGTTGTGCTAATTATGTGCTAATTCGCTTTTACTCAAAGCAATTCCTGAGTGTGCCCTTCAAAAGCGCTACACCTCTCATTTTCATAAGCTTCTTGTCTTTATCACTTGGATTGTATTTTGTATGGGTTATCTGAATGTAGAAGATTAGCACTTTAATCTTGTGCAAATTTTCTAATCACATTTTATTGATGTCTTGATTTTACTTGGTAATGACGACGTGGTTTGTCTTGCACACAGGAAGCTTTGTTAGTTCCCTACATTGATCTATTGAAAAGGAAACCACGGTATGGTGCCCAAAAATTCAAATGCCCCTCTTAAAACATTCTTTTGTTTTCTGTTATATTAAAGAAGGCCCCCATTGGAGCTCGAAGTGTAAAAAAACTGCCTGGTACTTTTGCTAATAACCCATCGTTTTGGTGGGATCCATATCTCTCCCCTTTTGGGCTTTATGAAAACAAAAATCAAAGGCTGTGGCGAACAAATTTACAGTTAGTGAAAGGCACAAATACTTTCAATATTCGGATTTGGAGGTTCATAAAGAAAAAAAAAGGAAGAATGATATTTTGGTACTTGAACTTTGCTGGAGAGAAAATTACCCTTCCATTTCAAAACAGTTTCAAAATATTCTCAAATTTACCAAAAGGTTCCCATCCCCATCATTTCAAAAAAATTTTTAAACATTTTCTAAATATCGAGAATATTCTAATATAAGTAATATAATAATACTTCCAGAACTATTTTTAGGTATAGAGGGTGTTCAATAAAATAAATAAAATAAAATGTCGACATAGTTTTTAAAATTTTTTAAACTACATATATTTATATTTTTAGCATCCCTTAAATAAGAGTTCTTTTTTATGTCTTGTAATTTTTTTTTGTATTATATGGTTAATGAAGCAATTGCACCCCACAATATAAGCGACCTTGAGCAAAGCTTATTCAAAATTTGAAAAAAAACAGTTTATTGCAGTATTGCATTTCAAACGGCAAAAACTGCTCTTTATTTGGAGAGAGAAAAGACTGTCCTAACAGATTATGGGTTTCAGCATAGGTAAGTTTCGAGTGGGGTAGTAAGAAGGAGAAGAAAAAATTCATGCCAAAAATAGTCGCAGTTTGTTGTGAAGTCTGGTCGTCGCAGCAGCTTGAGAGTGTATTGGAAGACGGTGTTGTATGGAAGTCGCAAGGAAAGTGGGGCTCTTTAAAAGGCAGCCATTGAGCCAGACTTTCCAGAAAAGTAGAAGAAGTGAATACATATTCGATGTTGCAGCGTTATCATAAAAGATGGGGACACCAAGACACATTCTATTTTGTATCAATATACAAATCAATATATCATTGGTAGTAACTGCGACCACACATTAGCTAATTTTATATAGATGTACAGTAAGAGCAGAAGTAGGAGCTTCGGCAACTACTATCAGAACATCACCCATTTACTTACTTGCTATTACTTTCGCTAGGTATTAATATAACTGCGTTCACCTGACATAATTCTTGAACACAAGAAGAAAAATCTGGCATGAAAACCTATCCAGGTCGCACAATGGATTCAAATAAACACACAATTAAATGATTGACAATGATAAAGATTTGGTCCGAAACACAAGGAAAAAATTTCAAACAAAACCCCTGCAAAATAGAAAAGCTTCCAACATTTTTTTATGTATATTACCCCGCACGCAGCCGGTCGACAAATAAAATAATAAATCTTAAATTAGGTACTTATAGTAATCTGGTCGTGTAAGGTTTGCGATATTCAGGCGCACTTAACTCACACACACACGCTGACAGCTTTTGGAAACTTCACTTTACTTTATAACACAGAATTAGATAATCCGCAATTTTGTCACAAATTAATATGTTCCTCACCCTTAAACTGCTAATTCTTTACTACTATTCGGATCGATTTCACTCAATAAATGCACGTTTTGGTTCTTGAATCAATTTTTTTACACAGCGATATTTATACGTAATCGTCCTTGAAGATAAACGAAAACCTTTTATATTTACGCAGAATAAATCAAGAATAATAATAACTACGTAACCAAACTCGTACGTGTTCGCTCGCGACAATCAGGTTAGAATGCCCGATTTCTTCCGAACGCAATGAACTCTGGCGTGCGCTAACAAGCAATAAAAAATTCTTATTTCGGCCTTTTTCAGCCGGTTCAAATGAAATGAACATGAACGCAATTGTTTAAGTCCGAAGAGATCGCGAGTGTGGTACTCGTTTTCCCCCAGTACGTTTCTTGCTATCACCAGACTTACTTTCGTTCACGTTTACTATGAAGCGGTACATGTGGAAATATCCCTATGTTATACAAATTCAAAATCCAAACTTTTGAAACAACAAAGCGGCCACTTGTTCCACAATGCAGTGGGTCCACAAGAGCTTTCCGTCCCCTAAAAAAGGGAAAAAAACTTGATCTTCACCGGGAAAGTTGATTGTGACCTTTTTTTGGGACCGTGGGGGCATTTTCTTATTTAATACTTGGCAAAAAGGACTACAATTAATGGTGAGGTTTCTGGAAAACAGGACCGAACGCCCCCTTAAAAAGAAAAATAACTTTCAGGAACAAGTAGGCTCATTATTTGAGTGAATCCGAGAGTGAATCTTAGAAGAATACTAAGATATCGAGAATCGCATACGATTGATAGGGGAATTATTTCCGGAATTAATTACAAATTTAAATACAAATTGGTTTTTTTATTATTTGTATTTGGTGAATTCTGTTTGAGAGTTTGACATGGAACAATAAAAAAATTTTAAAAATGCTTTTCTTTAAAATTTTTTTCTTTGTTGCTGTTTTATTTCATTTTTCAGTTTAGATTTATTTTTATTCCCATTTCTCGCAAATTGCGACGCCAATTCATTGATAAGTCATAAAATACCTAATATGGATCCATTTTAGTCGGTCACACATGAGCGATGGTATCGATAAGTCCATGTTTGTATAATTATCGAATATGCCATTAATGTTTAATGTGAAAAAAAAACACATCGGTTAGATAATTATCTTTACATTTCGTGCGCATGGAGGTCGCAGCGCAAACTCGGGCTTGAATAATGTCCAGGTTAGCGAGTGTCTCTCGCCGGTAGCAGCTTTGTCGTCGCATATTTAAATTATTCATAACCAATCAATGACGCGAATTATACGCTAATTAAAACGATGTGGTGCCGTTTAATCGGCGGTTCGCATTCGCGAGAAATTTTGCGTACCCTTAACGACGGATGACCTATGACATTTTCCCCCGTTTTTGAGACTTGGAATGGGTATAGTTATCGGATCGTGCGTCCCCGAGGAAGAAATTGATGCCAATCAACGTTTCCATCGGGTGGTCTACGGTAACGTATACTAAAAGCCCCCTTTCAGCAGTTTCGATTTTTTCCCGCCAAAAACACGACGCAACAGTTTAAATATAAAATTCTGACGTGCTTTGAACCTTCGCGTCTTGCTAATTGTAATTGAAGCAATCGAGCCGTTCGCGACAATATTTGTTTTAGGGATTTAGGCGAAGAATTGTCGTAACGGTAATTGTTTAAAAATCGATAAGCTCTTCATGATTTATTTAAACATACAAATGCGGTATAAATAGACGTTTAAAGTAGATACCTTCATTGACATTCGTAATTTCCATCAGACACGCGTCGACAATCAACATAACACACGTTTTAATTGCTTTTGTAAATGAGAAAGTTTAGGCAATTAGTTTAACGTGTTCGCTTATTTGTAAGAGTAAAGTCACGCAAAGTTGGCCACAAAGTCCAAAAGAACGCCGAATCTTTTGACAAAACGATGGGAGTATCTTGAAAGAGCGAGAATGTTCCTTTTTTGGAATTTTTGTATCTAAGGGATAAACCTTGAACTGTGGGGAAACGACAATTGTGCATTATTATGCCAGTATTTCCCTGGAGATTCCAAAATGACAGATTTTCTAAATGGATTTCTAATGTTTTTCAATAAGGTTTCTTGGAGTCGGTTTCTAATATTCCTAGGAAAATATGTGACGTCATTTCTAACAGATTTTCAGAAGGTTAAAAAATTAGGGCCATAAAACCGAAGGTACAACACATATTTTTAGACCAAGAGATAATGACAAATTTTTATTTTTGGGGTCTCTACGTAGCTTCCGAATTCTAAGGTCTTCAAGAGGAAGATTCCGAAAAGTCGTTCGTAAGCTCGTTCGTAAGATTTATCTAAGAAAATTTTTGTAATTTGCAGAAAAGTGCCTAGAAGAGCTGGGGTGATTTACAAAATTAAAATGATCTAAGATTCGTAATAAAACGGCTCGGAAATATTTTCAAAATAAATTTTTAAGGTTCCGAGAGCCAAAGAATGTACAGTGAATATTCTAGAAATCCCGATAGACATCGAGGACCATGAAAGATTACTCATTGGCAATAAGAAACTGAGGCATCCTTTCCGGGAAATATGACGTGTTTATTTTAGAATTTTCGGTAGCGGTTGGAATCGTTCGAGAACTTTCGAGAAAGACCGGCATTTGCTATATAAGCAAAATCGAATTGTGCTGCAGAGAGTTCTAACTGAACGCTGAAGAGAAATATTCAGTAATAAGTAGTTCACACTCATGTTATTGTCAGTACCTAATAAATAATAAATAAATGTTATAATCCATGTGTTATAAATTTATTGTTAACTAATTGTAAATAAATAAATCAAGTAATTAAATTTACTTACGTTACAAATGTTTATGTAGGGCCAAACGCTGTAACTTAGCGTAAACAAATTTACACGCTCTTTTTACCGTCGAGAAATTAACAAGAGCAGCCGTTTTACGTTGCCTCCAGTATTTAAAGAGAACTTCCATTATAAAAATAATCTCCTTCCAGTATTTACAAATAAAGCGTCAGTGACAATAGATTAAATAACGCCGGCTGCGAAGGAACGCGTCCGCGCTTACGCCGAAAATAATGCGCACGTAATTGGCCACCTGCATCCCTTGTTATCATTAATTAACTTTCGCACTTAACACTTACATAAACCTTTTATAAAAATACGCAAACTTGACCAGATGTTTCTTACTTATAGCGTCCTATCTAAATTTACAATAATGACCATTTAAACAAATATCCACCTGCGACCTATAGCCCGCAGTGTAAGTGTGTACCTACCTTTAGGGAACTGGCATAGGAACTCGTTTAAATTCGCCTGCCGGGTTCCTTTCGTAGCTCCCACAGCATATAGAGCGTCTTTAATCGTTTGGACATAGCGTTGATGTGCTTACCCATTGGTGGAGGGATGATACGGCGCTGTCCATTTGTGATATTTCACGTCACTGTTTTTTAGAAAGATCTTGAACTCCTCGGGTCCTCAGTGTTTACTCAAACCCAAGTTAATCGCGTGCCCGATAGTGGTGCCGTTTGAAGAGATAATATTCATTCATTCCTGGTGGAAAGTTCCCCTGTAAAATCATAGATTGCGTCAGCGATCGTCGCCGAAAGTGTTTGAAGAAGTTCAGCTGATAGCTCTTGTGTATAATGTCGATCTTTATTGTGCACCAGGTATATTAATTCGCGTTAGCGATAACGACTTTTTTACCACGCGCACGTTAGCAAGGGAGGTATTGAGTTGGGGTAAAAAACGACCCCCAACTTCTTCTACGGAAATACACGTTTTAAAGCACCAGGAATCCAAATTATTATTATTATATTCTTCTTAGTGTGATCTTTTCCGAGATTTCGAGGACTTTTACAAAACCCTTGAATAAAGTTTTTTTTAAAAGGCGCTTTCTAGTATAATTTTCTTACTACATTCCGAATAATATAACGTCCTGAATAAGAAACAAAAAATCCTCGAACAAAAACCAAAAACGATTGTTCCTTGTGCCGTTTTAATTGAAAGTGTTATTTTCAGGTATAAAATGTCCAGCATGCAGTAAATTTCTCATTCCTGACGATATCGAGTATCACCTAACAATGTGCCTCTCCAAACCACGGATTTCTTACAACGGTATGTGTTTACCCTTGCAAATACAGTTGTACTGAAGGTTGGTTTACAGAAGACGTACTGACTGACGATAAAGGGGAATGTGTAATATGCCTGGAGGATCTTGCTCAAGGCGATGTGATCGCGCGTCTGCCGTGTCTTTGCATATATCACAAAAGGTAAGTGGAAGTCAAAGATATTCGACAATTACAAATTGATTTCAGATGCATAGATCAGTGGTTTGGTATAAATCGTTCGTGTCCGGAGCATCCTGGCTAGCATCGTTTAATTGAATTTATTTTGTACATTATGTAAATAATATGCGTGTATCGTAGGAACCAAAATGTTAGAATGAAAACCATCTAGTGTCACTCAACTTTTTTAGTTGACGAAATTTCCCGCGTCGGGATTTGTGTTAGTTTTCTTAAAATTTTATTGAAAAGGTGACCATTTGAAGTTGTTTTTATCGAATTGGGTAGTAGTAAATGATAAATACTCGCATATTCAGTACTTACTCTACTTCATCCCAACTAAAACAAAATATATGTGTGATATACAATGAATATATTGTTGATTTTGTTGTGCTATAAGCTGCTTCGTATGTGGAAGTGATAATCGGAAAACGTGATTGTTTTCTTTGAAGTTGCCGAAATATGTGACTAGTCCTAATTTGTAATGTTTTTGTTATCAAGTATTGTTTCAATTTATTGTTATATATTACTAAGCTAAATCGTATTCTCTTAATCAGGCTGAACTAGATTGCATACTTGACATATCGATCATTACAATATTTCCGCAGGTGAAAAACCCTGTAATAGTTAACACAATGTAACAGTCTTTTTATCTTCTAATCAATACTTCACGGTTGAAGGTCTATGATAAAATTAACGTAAATTCTAAAGATATATACGGTGTGATAAAAAAAATCGTGTAAGCAGCTTGGACTGACTTTTGAACTCGTATGAATGTATTTAATCAAATAAGCATCGATATACTTTTGTATAAGAAATAAATGCCATTAGATAATGTTTCCTACTTTTATTTTCTGTACACAACCTGCAATTTATTTTTTATTCTTATTTTACTTTAGATATAATAAGAGTTAAGAAATAAATTTTGAGTTAAGTAAACTAAATTAATGTCGATTTTTTGTGGAAAATAAATATTTTTGATACACATATAATGTAATTAATTGTAAGATTATCTAATTTTTTGCTAGCTTTTTCTGTTCAAGTCAAAATAGTACCCTAATATGTACGTGTACCTACTAATCATAACAAATATAGAGAACTCATTTCTTAATTTTCTTTTGTCATTACTTTGCCCAAGTATTTTAATTGTCGCCATTGCAAAAAGACAAGGTACCACATAAATCACTAAAACAAAAGGGCTAAGCTTTTGTCATTTAGAGTAATCTTTGCGTGTAGTCATTATAATTTATTTTGTTTATTCTGATCTCCGCATCTAAGGTATACATTATTGTGTTAATTCACGCAGTTTGGACGATGTTTAAATAACCGGATTGGAATTTGTTTGTTTTGATGTAAAATTCTACGTTTGTAAAAATTGTATTAAGCATTTTGTTAACATTTATTTTGTTTGTAAGCCGGTCGTTACGATAACAGTTGCCCTTATCGCTAAGAAATTAATTAATTTTGTAAACAGATGTCGCAGGTGCGCGCTTTAGATAAGAATTATGCGTATTTTAACAAAATAATGAGAAAGTGGAAACGGACATGACATTGTTAAATAGAGAAGGAAGTGTTTTAACGTGGCCTTTTGCCTTTGGCCTTTTGTGGGAAGTCGGGTTTTTGTCCGTGGCATGTACGTGAAGTCAAGTATTCATTTGTGTTTGTACAAAGTCACTCAGTTAGTAAAAGTTCATAAAAGTCAAGTTTAATTTATTAATGTCGTGTTGAAAGAAAATGACGAGTTTGTGTTATAAAGAAATTAAGTGTAATTGGGTTTCCTGAGAAGAATTCGGTTTAGTGTTTGTGCGCATTTGAATTGGGTTAGGAAACACCTCTCACAACTGAAAGAATGGTAGTATGGGAAAGAAATACAAAACCTAGTGTATACAACAACTATGAAGTCTTTGACTGTGACCGTTCTGCGGAGAGAATTTGCACAAAGAATCCGCGCGGGGTTTGAATAATGACTGGTCTACCGTTTTATTCTTGTATTAACCATTAATCTTTGAATTTCATGTCACAATGTGTTATCGTTTAAATTTTGCATAAAATATTTGTTATTGAAGCAAGGCGTACTCCATGGTTTTGTTTTGAGTACGTTACTGAATTATGTTTGTTATACTGTACAGATGCCTTTATATTGTTTTATTAAGTATTTATTTATGTATTCAGGAGGAATAAATTTATTATCCGTATGCTGCGTTGCTCTTTGCTTGCCATTCCCTGTGGGGAGTACCACATGCAGTTCGATTCTGAGCTGCATATGTTGTTTATATATTACTATATTCCGTGAAGGGAGTGTTTAATACAGTTGCTGCATATGTTGCTCTCTTACTGGTAGTCCTCTGCGGGACGGTGCGTAAGAGTGCTGGAGTAGAGCGATGCTTTTGATGTTTTTTTATGTGCATGCAGTATATCATTACAGAAGTTGTTTTACCTCAATTGATCGTACATGTGTTCTTGTACTAAATTGATTTATCCTTTGAGATGTTTTATTTGTGTATTTTGTTGCCATAATTGATTTATTTTATGCATTTATGGGTTTTGCTGGGGTTTTTGACCCAAGAAAGGTATCGCCTTGTTGTGTGTGTGTAATATATTTTACTTGTTATTGTCTTTTCTTACGCACAAAATTCTGTGTTTTATTCAATTCGCGTTCCGATTGTGCCACGTCCCAATGCATACGGGAACCAATTACACAACGTGCTATCCGTATCGAATCGACTGCTTAAGCAATTTTAGATCAGATTAGTTTGTACATACGATCTTTGTGGATTAGGCCTACAGAGGATACCACGTTAAAAAGTGCGCGCCAATTAACTCTACCTCCTGGGTGGTGTGGAAACGCGTTTGTAATTGTAATTTTGGATTATGATTTTCCGTAAGTATGTTGTACATTATTGATAATAAAATTGTTTGTCCATTTAATTTCCAACAGAATAGTGAAGTGTGAAAAGATATGTGCAATGAGTAATAATATTTTTAAATTACATGTAATTATTATTATTTAATTAAGGGGCAATTACATGCGTGTTATTATTTTTTTGATTATACCGCGAATTAAATTAATCAAAACCGCAAATGTTAATGAAACTCAAAATCGTACCAATTGTTAATTAATTACTTAAATCACATTCCAAATGCCAAGAAATTACTCAAATTTCTTCGAAATAACAGAGCTAATTCCCGAAAACACCCCACACCCACATGGGTGACTCCGCGAATAAAACAAGTTAAAAAGTAATCGTAAACGATTTACATAAAGCGCATTTCCACTTGCATTCATTTCCTATTTGAAAGATGCTACTTTTGTTAAAATTGTAAAAATCCGGCCACAAATATGAAGCATAGTGTTGCACATGTGCAATCCATTTTTGACGTGCTACTTCAATTTCAGTATATATAAGAAGAGTTTCATTTCAATGCTTTTCTAAATAAGAAAGTTGGAACTGCGCATGCGCAAACCTAAATGTTGAAGCTAAAGTTAGCTTTCCTTTGTTCGAAGTGGCTATGTATCGAATTTCATTTAAATCCCTCCATAAATAAGTAAGTTGGCACTGCGCATGCGCAAAACTAAATTTTGAAATTGGCGTTAAATTTGCTTTTATTCCAAGTGGCTATGTATCAAATTTCATTTAAATACTTTTATAATTAAAAAAGTTTGCAATTCCGTTTATAAATGGTCGAGATGCGAAAAGGGCACTGTGACTTTTGAATCGATTCGACTCAACTTTTGGCATTGCGCGTATTATATGGCTAAAGCTATGCCCATATTGAATTTCATGCAATTCAGTTCATAACTAACGGAGATGTAAAAGCGATCGGACATTTCTAAACAAAGTTATCGTTCACACGGACAGATAGAGGGACAGACAGACAGCAATACAAAATTATTGATCGTTAATAAACGGCAAAAGTGTAAAATTATGGAACATGTAAAAAACGGTTTGTTGGTTTTTTTACAATAACTTTTTTTTGTAAACGGTACGTATATAATATAATCAATGCATTGACTAAGTATATAATCAATGGCGGTACAGAAAAAATTCCTTCCTTGGTGCAAGACTCGACACCATAACGAACCAAATAGCGAAAAAAGTAGAACAATAGCTCTTAAGATAAAAAACTAGTAGCGTCTCAAAACGAGCGGACGGACAAAGTGGCCACAATAGCGAATTTTTTTTTATTTTTGTGGAAATGCGCTAAAAAAGGGTTGGGGAAACATGCTTTTTTCTACTAATATTCATATAATCAAAGATCATTCTTTGATATAATACTATAAAAGATGTAACAACTACCTATATAGGTATGAAATACTTGTGATTAAAACAAGCAACAAATAAATCAGTGGTCCAAATTGTTCCGTTTAGAAGCCACTCATTCAAAAGTCCCAAAGTTTGAGTTTCCTTATTACTTTATTTTTGAGCAATCTTAACACATAGGGTGTTGAAATTAATGGTTTTTGAGTATCCCCTGATTCTCCCAAGTTCTTGTTATTTTCACGTTCAAAACATCCACATATAAATTTATTTGACATTAGTGTTGTCTCGCATCCCCCCCTTGAGAAAGTGATCACATCAACAGGAGGGGATTCTCAACAATGTTTAAAAAATTTTGACCACTTGTAAATAGTTGACTTAGAAGGGTAATCATCCTCGTAAACAGCCAAATAATTTTTTGAGGTTTTCCTTGTTTTGTAAGGAACTTTATAACAGCTCGCTATTCGATTTTATTCATTCACGGAAATCGCCATCATATTACCTGCTTTGCGCTGGTCAGTTATGTTTTAAATTGTGATAAAAAGAGTTTTGGTTTATTACGCCACTGCCAATGGTGGCGCGTTTCCCCCGACTCTTATAACCTGTAACCTTTGTAATGCATTACTGGTATTGTAATAAACATTATTACTATAACCTCTTTTTTCTCCTCTTAATTTTTACTCTCTATACATATAAAACGCACGACACAAACCGACAGATAAGAACATTAATAATGTTGCAATGATTGTTTTGTAAATTGCCACAGAAGTTATCAAGGCGTATGAAATTAAAATACAGCACAATGGAGAATTGTTTCAAAATTCAAAACAGCCCAGTCCGAGAATATAAAAACAATACACCTCAGTTCAGTCCCGTATAAAACGTAAAGTTCAGACAAAAATATATTATAATTTTATTAATAAATTAACAATAGATACATATAATATATATATATACATTTTTTTGTCATTTGACTACATTTGTTCATGAGATAATTTAAACTAAACCCATAATCAAACTCATTTGGTTATAGCGTTGCATTTACCTACTATACTAATTTAAAAAGAGTTGCAGTGGCAGTGTCTTCAGACTACATTTAAACAGTAAGGACAAAGTGGTGAACGAAAAATACCTCCATCCTCCTACTGCATTAAATGGCAGACACAAATATACTAAAATAAATAACTTCAATTTTGGTATGAAACACAATTTGTACCATTAATAAATAACAATTAAAGAGCTGAGAACAATTTATAATCTTAGGTTAAAAAGGTACACAGGCGCAAATATAAAAGTAAAAAAAAATTAAATACACTGATAATTTATGGTACGTCATAATTCTGGCCTCTGACGTATCATTCGTGGATTTCTTATCCAAAATATGGCACTATGTATTTTTCCAAAAATCCATGTGAATAATCCACCTCCTTTGGCAATTGTACTAAAAAGGAATTTGAGGTAGTCGGTAATAAAAATTAAGGAAGATCTCAGTATTTGTATTGCCTATACAGACTCGGATACGACTTGAAAATGCCAATTTCATTCTATCAAAAATGGAATCTTGCGATTTTGGCATTAGAGATCTTAAAACTAAACAGATCTCTGGTGACCAGTGAGATACAATTTTTGGAAATTGTACAAATGACTTATTCAATGAGCCCCCAGTTTTTTAAATTGTTGCATACCACGTCATGTCATGATATTTAATGGAAGTCGATTAAATAATTTAGTTCCCATATAATAGGGAGATTATTTAAAGAAAGCATGGCAATGCTTCATCTGCAAAATCTTGTGCTTTTCTCTTGTAGCGTGGCTATGTGTATTGCCACATTAGTACAGAAAGTCGATTGTTTCACATATTTGGGAGAAAATTTTGAATTATTGAATGAATTCAGACAGAATTAGTATCAAAAATAGAAATTATTTGCCCATCTTCAATATCAACACACCAAGTTTGCTATGAATAAACAAATAAAATGATAAAGCGAGTCAATGTGATAAACCCAAAGAGCATATACCTCCCACACATTGTGTTAATAAGGCAGATCAAATCACTTAACATCAATTACCCATCAAAAAAGGATATCATAAACCCCAAGGTGGATGTCCTCCATTAATATAAAGCACATAAGTAAATCCATCTTTACATCTACCATTAATGGAATAATAGTAAGGCAAAAACTTGTGAAGCTGAAATCTAAAGAGAGTTACATTACAAACTATGGCAGATTCCATTAGTTACTTTCTATGTTCATAAAAAAGAATTGCAGCTGAATTTGTGGTTAACACGTGAAGGAAAATCGCCTTGACTTTCCTCTTTTCAAGCGTTGTTAGTTGATTTATCAAGGAATCTAAGAGTAATGTTGCAATGCCGTTCCTTCTGTACTGTTTTGCGACACCCAGTGACAAAATGTAGCCGACATCTGACGTTTTCACAAACGCCTTGGCTAAAATCCCAGAATCTTCCTCATTTAGTATTCTATACGGTTTTATTTCTGCGACTATTAAACCTACTATCACCTGATTATAAACTGCGGCCAGCGCATAGAACCTAAGGATGATGTTATACGAATTTAGAGTACTGAAACATAACCACCTTTGGCTTGACGTAATCTCCTCATACCACGTAATTGGGTATTCGATAGGAAACCATTCCTGACATAAAGCGCGTACTTCATCTAAATCGGTCGGACATAAAAAGCGTAACTGAACATCTGCCAAGGAACATATAGGTAGCTGTACATCAACGGAACAATTTTCATCACTTCTATTCGTATGATACCTACAAACTTAACTGAAGCATCACGGAATCACATTTAATATTCAATTACCAATTAATGCCAGCCATGTAAGTCCCTTTTTACCTTTTATAAAGAAACCATTGACAATATTAAGTAAATGTCCACTTGGATCACCCACATTTTTGACTTATAGAATGTTCATTCATTCGACAGAATTTGGTTTTCACTGATGTATTAGTATATTTAGTACCCCAAGCCAGGACATCATTCATTAATTTTTTAAATCTCAGTTGAGAAAATCATCTTCAATCTAAATTCCTTAATTAAATTTTAATTTGTATTTCCCTAAAGAATTGTGTCTAATGTCTGTACAACGGAATTTTGAGGATGCAGTGTCGAATGTCAAAATACAACAGTAGTGACTTGTCCTTATAAATTACAGGGTGAACCCGTTAATCGTTACTATTCCAGTATCCTCCAACATGGATTGTTCTTGTGCGAGTGCCCTTCAAAGAATGTGGTGGACCTGTGCCCCGTTTCCTCGCTGGCATTGCACCCTCTACGCCCATACCCCGCATATGCTGGTCCACTGCGACCAAGCGTAGTTTCATTGGGACAGTCCCGTAAAAAAGTGTTACTGTTTGATTGTGCTCTGATAAAATGACTATTGTTTAAAATGTAGTCTTACTGCCACAAGAAATTCTTATAGTTTTTACTTTTCTGGCACTGGTCATTATCTTATCCCCCACCAATTCTGCTTGGAATACAATCAATATCTTCCCTGTTATGATTTTTTTACTGCCTCCATGATTAGAGACGTCTTCCCAGTGCCACGCAAACCACTTGAGGACATTTGTGAGGGCAGTCATAGATTTCATCTTGAATATTGACTGTATTTATTTATTTATTTATTATCCCTCTCTTGTTCTAGACCCTCAACAGGCTTGCGCCCAATTACAGAGTGACCTGCATAATGATTTTTAAAGGTGCCCCTGCAGAAGGTCTTAAGTTGTTCTATACCACTCCGGTACTGCAGGAAAACCTAATTCGGAGTAGCGGGCAGAATGCTCGAAACTGACCTAAAAAAATTCCCATCTCTGCCACAGATGAAAAATTCACCTCAACCCAGGTTCGAACACCCGCGGGCTCCCGACTATATAGCCCAACTTTTTACTACTGAGCCACATAGACGGTATCATGCTTTATTATCGATCATTGAACGCAACAAATTATCTTATGCGCATTACTACCATTTACACTATGCGCGAGTACAGACGGAGCGACAGACAGATCGACATATCGACATCGTCGAGATTTTGTTTAATTCGGATTCCTGGTGCTTCAAAACGTGTATTTCTGGAAAAAAGTGTGGGGTCATTTTTTACCCCAACGCATGCGGGTTGAAAAAAAGCATTATTTGTATATAACAAGCAGCCTATACTTTATTACTAAATTCTAAAACCGAGGTATCCTATGCTTTGGTGGATAGGACCATAGAAGAAATGCGAAGGGAACATTGTCATTGCTCAATAATGAGTCGAAGACCATAAAAAGTCAAGAATATAAGAATTTTCTTGCACTGACTTTGAAAAACAGAACGAGTTTTAAATTTAAAAAAATTCTGCACTTTAAAATTGCATGCAATTTCTTTTCCATGTTGCAGAATACAATAGTTTAAAATGATAACGTCACTGGTTTCTAGTCCATAACTTTTGATTGAGAAGTCTAATCGAAAAAGTACGAATCGTTTTGGATTCTACGCCCCAAAATTAATAAGAAAAAGTGTTTTTCCGAAAAATTTTGGTGCAGTCGATTTTTGGTAAAAAAGGATGGTTATACACTGCCTTTTATTGAGCCCCGAAATAAAAATTGTCTCAGATCGACCGGGAAAAAAGATTTTCTTATAGAATGTGGCCTGTAGAATCCATAATTTCAAACAGTTCCAAGATTGGGCTACTAGTTTCAAAGTTACAGCCCTTTGAATTTTCTTTCGAAATTGGTTTCTAGTCCATAATTTTTTATTGAGAAGTCTAATCGAAAAAGTACGAATCGTTTTGGATTCTACGCCCCAAAATTAATAAGAACAAGTGTTTTCCCGAGAAATTTTGGTGCAGTCGATTTTTGGTAAAAAAAGGAAGGTTATAAACTGCCTTTTATTGAGCCCCGAAAAAAAATTGTCTCAGTTCGACCGGGAAAAAAGATTTTCTTATAGAATGTGGCCTGTAGAAACCATAATTTCAAACAGTTCCAAGATTGGGCTACTAGTTTAAAAGTTACAGCCCTTTGAATTTTCTTTCGAAATTGGTTTCTAGTCCATAACTTTTGATTGAGAAGTCTAATCGAAAAAGTACGAATCGTTTTGGATTCTACGCCCCAAAATTAATAAGAAAAAGTGTTTTCCCGAGAAATTTTGGTGCAGTCGATGCAGCCTTTTTTTGAGCCTCGAAAAAAAAATTGTCTCAGATCGACCGGGAAAAAAGATTTTCTTATAGAATGTGGCCTGTAGAATGTTGCAGAATACAATAGTTTAAAATGATAACGTCAACTACATTATGTTTAAACAGTGCATGTACAAATTTTCTCTCATGCCATTAATGCGAGCTATGTTATACACTCATTTCCTATTGTCTACTATCCCGTTCACGGAATAGTAAACACTTCCGTGTTAAATTCCTTTCTATTTTAATTATTTTATATAACAGCACGAGATGGGATGACATTTTTGTATGCCATTCCAGTTATTTATACAGACCGCTTTACAATCAGTCTAAAAGAATGTCTAATAATGCCGAAATTTGTGAAATTTGAGGTCATTCCATTGTAATTGCGTGGTAGCCATTACGCTGCAGACGATCTGACGTCATCGGTAAATGTTTGGGTGACTGTAGTATTTGTAAATTTTTAGTTGTCGGTAAATTAAGGGTAATCAAGTAGTAGAAAAAAATGGATACGGCTCTAAGGGAGCAAGTTATGATAAATCAATTCGTTGTCGCTGCCGGTTGTGCCAGGGAGCAGGCAAAGCAGCTGCTGCAAGCGGCACATTGGCAATTTGAGGTGAGTAGGCAATTAATTCATTTGTAAACAAAAGAGTAAAACATGGCCGTCACTTTTTTATTAGTGTTATTGTTTTGTTCTTCATGGTGTCAGGAGGTCATTCTTTTAGGGGAAGTGCCTCCTTATACAAAATTGTTCATTTAATCACCTGACAATCAGCTGATCAAATTTTCATAACAATCGCAGACCCCGATTTTTGTTATTGGTATTTGCAATTCATCCCATCTAAAAGGTATCTGCGAAAATGCCTGTGTCCTTTTGGAATAGACTTTCACCTAAATTAATGGATTATATTGTCAGTAGTTTTCCCGCTTCGGTTTAAAATTATCCTATCAGTTTAATAACACATCAATTATTTATTAATGAGGGTAATGTCCTTAAAGCCAATTATGTAAAAAGTATTACACTATCAACAAAATTATCTAAAAATAGACATTTATTGATGTTTTTGTACTTTCAGACTGCTTTGAGTATATTTTTTCAAGAAGCCGCCATTCCCTCATGCCAGACAGGAGCTTCCACACACTTCGGACAGGTGATGTTAATCTACTTACTTACACTTACATTGTATTTATATGTTCAGGGGAGAATGTTTTATCATTTCAAGTTCAACTGTTATCATGTAGTGTTCAAACTTCAAGACGATAGACTGAGAATCCCATTATGACTGAAGTACTATGTAGTAATTTGGCATTGAGTTGCCATTCAGGTGTTGGTCACAGGGGAAATTATTGCCACTAGCGTAGAAAACTATAAGGAAGATGAAATTCTTGTGAAATATGATGAAATTTTTAGTCATTATCATCAGTGGTGCTCTGCTTGGGCAGGTGCTTGGCTATTAACTTCTCTCTGTCAGTAACTCTCCACCATCGCATACCATTCTCTTCCCCCAGCTTGCTGATCATTATCATTCTTTTTCTTCCTCGTCTTGGATCCCCCTCCACACTTCCTTCCAATACCTTCATCCACAGTCTTTCCTTCATTTAATTAATGTGGGGTACATTAAAGGAGGATATTAGTTACAGGAAAAATAGGGCAATGGCAATGAACTCCTGGTTCAAAAAAATTTTTGAAGCTTTTGGTACCTGCGCAGGCGCTTAAATGCGCATTAATTGTTTTTTGGATTTATGGGCGGCAAAAGGTCCTCTGAACGTAAGCTTTGAATTATGTAACTATTTTCAAATAAATGTCATTAAATTTAAAACTCATTTGGGATATTCATGAAATTTGAGGAAATGAAATAAGGGTGAAATTAGAAGAAATGCTGCAAGTTATTTGTGAATTCTTTGATTAGAAACCAATTAATGTGTCCCATTTTTTTATGTTACAGATCATGACTCCATGCAACACACCTGCAACCCCTCCAAACTTTCCGGATACTTTAATAGCATTTTCAAAAATGTCTACCAGTAACGGTACCACTCAGTCGCCCAACGTAGCCGGTAGCACACAACCTCAGCCGATCTCCCAAGTACCTTCAACAGCACAACGATAAAAAGAAGGAAGAAATTATGTCCCATTGAAGTGTGCAAACTATTAGATATGTTATGGACTAAAATGTATAAATTTAGCTAATATAGTAGGATTGAGGTCGGAAGTAAGGCGACGACGACCTATACGTAATATTGATAATGTGATTTCCTTCGTTCATTTTTTTATAGTATAATATTTATGTTAAATTGTGGTGTAAGTTGAATCCGGTCAAAATGATCGCGTTAGGTGTTACATTGAATTGGGATTGTTTCATTTAGTCTCTGCTAAAGTAAGACATTTCGTTTTATATATAACAAACAGTATTGGCTTTCGTATACAATTAAATTACTGTAATTGTAAATAACGGTTATTTTGTAAAGCTCAAATTGGTATTAGGAATGGTACGTACAGTATATTTGTTGCAAAAAAACGCTTGGATTGACTTTTGTAAAAAGTGTCAATGTTCTGTAAATAGTAGGAGTAAGTTAAGTCTTCTAAAACAAAAAAAATTATAATCAATGTAGCTATTACACTTCATATGTGAATTGATATCCCAATGTACATCACCATTATATTAAAAATACATTATTTTTAAGTAATTTTTACACATGATTAACAGCACCTTCCTATCAAAGTCCAAATTAAAGAAAGAAAGATGTGGAAAAGGATTAGAGAAGCAAGGATTTAAAGTTGAAAATCTAACTAACCTTTGTGTTATGTAGTTTCTTGAATAAGTATGTATTGCTGTGGTCCCATGTTGAGCGCAAAGTAAATAATGGTAGGTGCAATGGCATGCCGTCAACCACAGACACCTGTTTAGCTACAACAAACCAAAATTGAAACTTATAATTTTATGATCCCTCCTCTGTATCTGTACACTTCCGGCATCTGCCACAGAGAGAAATCCCAATATTGACTCAACTTAAATAATTTGGGAGACACAGTAGTATGAATCACCTTATGAAAGGATTAACTACACAAATTTTCATTATCACCTGACATAATTTTTGAATGCGAGAAGCAGAATCTGATACGAAAACTATCCGGGCCGCACAATGGGTTCGAATATGATTGCCATACAAAATTCTATTCCGAAACATGAAAAGAAAATTAAACAACATTCCTGGAAGAAAGAGAAGCTTGCAACGCTTATTCGGACAAATTACCTCGAAAATGGTCGATCGACAAATAAAATCTTAAAATTACTTACAGTTTATTCCCCTTAATAATCTGATCTTCAACAACGGTTTGTGATAAACAAGGCTCCTGAACTTTTCTTTAACACGGTGCACTAAAACTGCTTTATTCCGACACGGCGCATTGAACTTCTTACAATTCATTTGTAATACTTAACTTTCTTCTGTACCTAGGTACAGAAATATTATAAAAAAGACGACGAAAGGTATATTATATAACGTACCTACATTTTCCAACCGTTGCCAAACAGCTCCCTTGCAGCCCTGTGATGCGTGCAGAATATAACCAAACGCCACTTCCATAATAAAATAAATTTTTTACCTCATGTTTTTACAAATAAAGCGGCAATCATACATAACCTTGATAACGTCAGCTTCGGCAGGAGGCTTACGCCGAACTAATGTGCACATCGCTGAACACCTTCATAACAGTGATAAAAACAACGTTTTAATTTTATTTCGTCCGATGGCAAAATCTCTTATCGCAAACAACTAGACGTGCCTATATTTAAGCACTCATTTCACGTTTTACAATTAACTAAACAAATCTAATAATACCCAATTACAATGAAAAAAACAACTGTACGGCAAAATAAATTCATATGTAATAAACCAATTTTGTGCTTTTTCGTAAACAATTCCCCACCCCCAGGTTTACTTTATTAAATTAAAAAACTTCTCATAAACAGAGTGTTCCGTCATAATTTTTCTTTTTCGACTTGAAAACATCAAATAGGTACCATTTTGTAGAAGTTAAAAACAAATCGGTACGAGCACCACGGGCACAGAAACGATTACCTACCCTTAACGGGAACGCAACCAACAAAGCATAAATTAATTATCGGTAGCTATGGGAAATTGAATGCAGGAAACGTAACAATACCCCTCTTATGGTAAGCGGAAGAAAGATAGCAAATGCTTATATTTATATTTAACGGAACGGTGATAAAATCGCAAAACGTACAGTAAAAATTGTCAAAAAGTGGATCTTAAGTTTTGGTATAACACCAAAGGCAAATCCACTATAAACAACGGCTTTTACTTTTTATAAAATTAGGGCATTTCATGTAAGAATCGACGATTTTCCCAACTAGCCCAGTGTACATTAATATTAATAATAACCTTCAAATATTAAAACTTCGTTGTTTAATTGTGTGGCAAAATCTGAAATTGGTTTTAAAATTCAGTTCAATTAAGGGCGTTTCTAAGTGGAACCACTAACGACTGGTTCGGATGCGACTTACTGCAACTGATTTAATTAGCTACTGTTAATTACACATTTGCCAGGTTAAAATTTCCAAACTCGGTAGCCCAGTAATGCCCATTGTTGTTTGGAATTTCGAGTCAATCGCAACAGGTCCGCGATAATGAAATAAACTGCACGACCTTGCAGCTTTCACGTTTTAAATTAACATAGAAAACCAAAACCATCTAATAATGACTTAAAAGAGCTGAAATTCTAGAATTCCATACGCTTTGAGTACACCAATCGTCTGCGTTTTCGATTTCGACCATCCTGGGGAGAAAGTTAACGTATCGGTTACCTGTATTCGAATCGCTGTATTAGTGTGATGTTGCTTTGCATGATTCGATTTAACTATTCCTCTGGCTGACTGGCTGGCAGTAAATGCAAGCCCTGTAGAATAACGCTTGTAAAAAGACGGGGAGTGTACCTACATGTATCTATGGGGGCCGTGCAATTAACAACGTTGAGGACGGGGCTACAAGATGTGGAGCGCCAACATCTGGGCCCATCCCCGAGCGATTTGTACTAACCTGGAGATTTTTCAGTTTTTTTTCTATCTTCTTTTACAGTTCTTCTCCGATTGATGCCGTCGGAAAGATCTTGCCAACGCGCATAACTCCTGGGTGGTGGAATTTGTTTATCTTTTCTAGGGGCGAAATGAACCACCTTTTGCGCGGCGCACTTCGAGGGGTAGTCCACTTTGGACGCCAAACAGTTTCTAAGAGCTCGAATCGCGATCACTCTTTCTCGTGTCGCCCATAGAAGCTCGAGCTATGATTTTTTTAACGAAATTAGGGAATGCAATCCCGCACCAAAATCTCAATCTCGGTATTTGCGGGATTGTTAGATGTTAATCCCGCGGGATCCTGGTATTTGCGGGATCCCGCAAAACTTTAAATAAATTGGCAAATAAGCAATTCTGTGCGGTTAACTTCTGTATTAAAATAAATCGCTAATTATCTGAATATTTAACAAAAAAGTACCTTCAACTTAACTTAGAACTCAAAAAAACCTCAACTGTAAAGCACAAAAAGGTGAACTTCTAAAGTGCCTAAAAAATCATAGTATATTTTTAACGAAAAAAGTTTAACAATTATTTAAAAAATAATTTCTCCGTTATGCGTTTCATTAACAAAGTAAACAGAGGCGTCCCCTTGGTCGACAAATTCCTCAGTCCCGCAAATCCCGCGGGATTCCCCTCCATTTATGTGCGGGATTAATCCCGCAAAAATGCTGCGGGATCCCGGTATTTCAGGATCCCGCGATCCCGGTATTGCATTCCCTAAACGAAATCCACCAAAATGTGAATTGGTAGTGAAGGAAATAGCAGAGGAGTGGCCGGTATTTTTCTAGAGGGGGGGGGGGGGCTTAAGAAGTTTTTGATAAAGACTTCCCTTGTAATTTTTGCAAAGGAACTATCAACCGTAACTTCCACTGGGGGCAAGACCACGATCTAGGTGGGACTCATGCCTCCCTGGCCACCCCCTAGCTACGGGTCTGGACCGACAAAAAGAATGTGGTAGCCCCCGATAAGATCTTATTGATGGTGGAGTCAAAACATCAAACTTTAATCGCGGGTGAACTGGATGTCGGAGGCGGGTACCGAAAAAGGGAATAGGAGCCACGAGATCTTACTGATGGTGGAGTGAAAACTTCAAACGCGAATTGCGGATGCACGGGAAGTGGGTACTGACAAAGTGAATGTGGTAGCCTTCGACAAGATCTTATTGATGGTGGAGTCACCACTAACTAATAAAAAATTGATCTGACACACAAAAATGCGCTGAAGTCCCTTCGATCTCACACGAGAACTTTGATAATTTTTTTCATACACACAGGTAATGGTTGTTCATTTATAGTGGTGGACATGGAAAGGAAAGTCCCCGGTTCTTTGTTTCAGCAAGCTAATTATTGCTTAAAAAGAATCGATCTTCGCCTTCGATATCCCCATCTTTAGATTTCTGCTCCCCATACATTTGAAGGATGCCGTTCTGGAGGTTTAACGGCTAGACTGACCTTTTTCGTCTTATGTGTAACGTCTTATAAGGGAAGTAAGATGATTATTCCCAATTTTTGTTAGTGTTTGATAAGCTGCAAACCTGGAGGACTGCGGAGAGGCGCAGTGGTACATATGATTATGATGTCTATATAGCTTCTTTGGGAACGCGTTTCACAATTCCACTTTAGGATCAGATGTACAGGATTTGCAAAGATGAGGTGGTACCTATATTCTAATTTGTATTTTGAATCTCCTTTTGCTTTTAAAAATCTTGTAATGAGCGAAAGGATAATGAATTCCATCGCGAATTTGCGAAGGTTGGCGGCAGTGGTAGTATAATTCGCATCTATGATGGTTTATCGATTAATAATTATTAATCTCACGGCTTCCCTTTTGTATGTCATTACTTATGTATTTATTATTGCCTAAAGCAGGCATGGGCAACCTTTTTTCCAAGGGGCCAAAATAAAATTTTTCATATGCGCCACGGGCCACAGTTGAAAATACAAATAAAAAGTACTTATGTTAAAGAAATCAATAATTGTCTATTTTTTTTTGGTATGACCTATTTCTTGCTTTCGTAAAAATCATTTAAAAAAAACAGTACTCCTGAAAATTGACACGATTTTGCATGCAAAATTTCCAAAAACACGTGTCGTTTACTCCACCCAGTATATATCGCAACGAACATTCTGGAAAAACTTGGCGATATCTCTGAAACAAGAAATGCATCTTCAAAAAGGCTTTCAAACGTCTTGGGAGCTTCGGATCGCTTCCACTAAATGCTGCACTTGTAACATAATCATTAAAGTCCTTAGATTACTAAATCATATTTATAGTTAGGTACTGTACCGGTCGGTTACAAATTACAGGGTGGTTCGGTAATTCTAATCTGCGGAGGGTTGCGAATTTGTATTGATATCTTGTATATAAAAGTTAAATATATTTTCAGGTTTCAGGTTCTCGTAATTTCATTGTGTTGTCAAAGTACTTTTGGAACTTACCATTTTGTACTTATACTTCCAGCTTCCAGCCTCGCTCAGACTTCTCGTCCTGCAGAAGAGTATTATCCGCCGTATCTGTTACGCAGGTGCACACGATCATTGCCGGCCGCTCTTTAAGCAACTAAGGATCATGTCCATTTATTCCCTATACATACAGGGTGATTCCTATAGTACCTGCCACCGTTTGGGAGCGTGTAGGTGGTGCGTAGGGGAGTATTTTGATATAGGACACTTGGGGTCGGAAATCTAAAATAAGGGTGCCAGAGCCAAATTTACCTTCTGGAATTTCGCGCCTGTAGGTAGGCAACCCAACCGGCCGGCGGTGCACACGGAGCGATCTCAGGCGGCGATGTGTGGCTGACACTTGATCAGAATTTTGTTTAAACCCACGAAATCCCGTCTGCAACGACGCGTATCAAGTGAATAAACACTATGGCAATAGTATAATAATAGTTGGCTAGATGTAGGAAGTGCATTGAGAACAACGGTGGCCACGTTGAACACTTGTAAACGTTATTGCTTTTGACTGTCGTTTTCCCTCCTTCCCTCCCATGTCGCTTCCTCGCGCTAACTCGCTCTGCATCGCTCCGCGCGAAACGTCGGTCGGTTGGGTTGCCTACATACAGGCGTGAAATTCCAGAAGATAAATTTGGTTCTGGCGCCCTTATTTTAGATTTCCGACCCCAAGTGTCCTATATCAAAATACTCCCCTAGGCACCCCCTATACGCTCCCAAACGGTGGCAGGTACTATAGGAATCACCCTGTATACAATTGTTTGGTATATATGTTTGAGAATAAATCGGCTTTCACTACAAACGAGGATATCAACCAGGGCATGAAAACCCGCTACCACAACAACCCTATTGTACCTCCGCACAGCACAACGCTATTTGAAGAATCACCAAAATATATGATGATAAAGCTATTCAACCGTCTTCCACAAGAAGCCAAGAATCGGACCTCTCTTCGCCCATTTAAAAGATATTTAAAAAAGTTCCTCATTGACCACCCATTTTAGAGTATCAAAGAATATCTCGCCAATTCATAAGACGCCTTATGTACTTCAACATTCCGCTATTGCACGTATTTGTTTGTTATCTTATTTATTTATTTTGTGACGTTCCTATACTCCTATATGTAGTCTACATGGAAAAATGATTGATTGAGCTAGCTCAGGTAAAAATTGTTTAAGCATAATAGGAAAGAATTTAGTTCATTTCTATCACTGATATCTCATTAATTGTCAATATCGCATAACCAAATATTAGTTCAAAATTTACACTCTCATATGTTTCGGAGAGCTTATGTAATTCTCATGTAGGCGTCTCTTTGGCCAAAACGCTACTAATGTACGTGGCCGCTTTCAGAGAGCGAATGAAATATGCTTTCTTTCATTACCTATACTTCGTGAATCATAATTGTCGCGCCATAATGCGGAATACTTTGCTTATTATGAAGTGCTAAAATAATCTTACGTAAATACATACACTGTTAACTAAATTGAACCTTTAGGTTACACTGTCAAATTCAAATTCTACCCTACACTGTAGAAGATAAAAAGAAATTATTTTTTTAGAAACGGTGTGCCATTACAGTGGCCAATAAAAATATTAGGATATTAAAGAAGTTTTACAGTATTTCATGGGATGATTTCTTACTCTTTTTGATCGCTTCAGGATTGGTGTTAACTATAATATAAGAAAATAGTCGTTTTCGAATGGTCCAACATAATCCATATGCACTCTTTCAAAATTTTCAGAACGTTCACAAATCAAAGGTTTCAGTCACAGATAATTTTCAAAATCGGTTTTGTGGCAGATACACCTTATTTTGAGGGCTCGTTTGTTTACAAACTTCTTTTTTTCGGGCAATGAGTGAAAACGTCATCTATTCTTAGATTGCATAAGACTGTTTATTACGGTACCTAAGTGAAAAATTTCAATACTTACCTTCAGTTTTCAAAAACTGCGTCATGTCCATCATCTCTCATATTAACAGCTAGTGTTTGATGCCAACAGTATCGATAATAACAACAAAGTGCAAGTATTTGAAAGAGTTGAACGAGATTTATTTGAGTATTTTACAATCATGAATACACAATAGTTGATTTATTATTAAACATGGCTTATTTAAAACTATGATACAATTATAACTAGCAGTAATGAGAAAGTGCAATATCGGTAGGCTCCTTACCAGACTAGAAGAGAGTTTAATTAAATAAACTACACTATTATTCGAGTTTTACACATAAAAGAATCAATTAAGTAGATAATTATATTAATTAAGTAGTTATATTTAAACATGCTGGATAAATTCGGGATTTAAAAATGAAAAGCCCATAAATTCCGTCTGATCTAAGTTCATCATGAATAATTTATCGGTTGGAGTTAGTTCTATTTTCTCTGACGTAAATTGCTTATCGAAATTGCTAACGTCCTTGCGATGTTTCTGTGAACGAAATTTTAGCAACGAGTACCACGCATCAACCTACTGGACTTACAATTTTGGGTTTAAACGGCGGCTGGACTTCGCGATTTTCGATCTTATCCCAATCGATTCGCCTGAAGAAGGAATGGCCGCGAACGTCGTCCTCGCCGCGCGATCCGCAACCCAAACGTTTCGATGGATTTTTGGTGAGGAACTGGAAAAATTTCGGTTACACGGCAAAATTGGCGCCTATAAAAATACCCCTTTGCAGATCTCCTTGGCTTCCTTCGATAAACCCTTCGGGTAGCTCACGTTGTGGTCTGTTATTGCCGCGAACAGTTCTTCTTCATCTTCCCCATCGAATGGAGGTTGCCCGACCAACATCTCGTATAAAAGGACTCCGTATGCCCACCAATCAACCGATTTACCGTACGGTTGATACAGAATTATCTAAAATACCGTTTTGAAAAGTTAAATATCTCATTTTGCATTGCGGGAGGGGTGCCCTGCCGTTTTTGCACCATCAAATTTAAGCCACAACTATATCAAAAATTACCATAAGAAAGATCAGTTGTTGAGCTCGAATCCTGTCTCTTGCTTCCAAACTTTTTTAACGTTGTTAGTAAAAATATTGGTAGACATTAAAAAAAAGTATATGACTACATGTGAAGAATAAAAAATGCTATATGCTATTGCTGCACCTTTTATATTAACATATTTTATGCCTTCTAAGTTGGTGGCTTGGCACATTTTAAGGTAACCTGATCTAAAGGTTACAGTTCAAGTAATACGAGGACCATGTAAGTCCTCTGAACTTTTGAATTCTTTTAAATTGAACTTATTAGAACAAAGGTGGAAGTGTCAATGTAAATATTGTAAAATAAGAGTTTTATTAAAAATGTGAGGAATATACAAAGAATGTTTTTCTTTCGAAATGAATCATTTCCCTATGGCAAACAGCACAAAAATTGATCAAATACCCACACTCCACAGGTAAACAAATTCAAAAGGTTAATTGAAGCTTTTGAAACGAAAATTAAAATGGAAGCAAATTTAATTTATAGAATAGTAGAAACCCAACGTGACGGAACGCTAAAAATGAAATGGATGTATTCAGAGCTTACGTGCCCATCAGACCCGGCGCATTTCCATTTCATTAAAATTACTGAAAGCTCCGTCGCTGATTTATAACGCCTGATTGATTACCTCAATACCTACCCATCAATCAATCAATAAACGTTTTCAGTTTGTAATTTAAAATTACCTCCGGCGCGATGTAATCCGGAGTTCCGCAAAAGGTTTTCGTAGTCTTATCGCCGGTTATCTCCTCCTTGCACATACCAAAATCCGCAATTTTAATGTGGCCATCCTGGTCTAACAGAACATTGTCCAACTTTAGGTCTCTGTAGATGATTCCCTGCATATGCAGGAAAAATAATCCGATAGCGATTTCTGCTGAGTAAAACCTAATTTAAATGCAAATTAGGTAGAGGTTCTTCCTTTTAAGTAAAACGTAAACTTACACTGCAACTGGTTCCTTAAATTTACCGCACTGTTGAATTTGAAACATCAAATCCCCGCCATTGACGTACTCCATTACAAAGTATAATCTATCCTGCAACATAAACAGAAGCTTAATCCCGTCTTTTTAGGGAAAGTATACGAACCATAGTCTGAAAACAGGAATGTAATTGAACAAGGAAGGGTGGCTTGCTCGATAAAGCCAACACCCGTTTCTCCACCATCGTGCATTCAACGTCGTCATCTTGAATTATAATATCTTTCTTTAATATTTTAATAGCGTACAGCTCGTCAGTTCCCTTTCGCTCCGCCAGCATCACCTAAAAATTACGAACAATAAAAACGCACCCTTATATGCGACGATAGCGTCACCTTTCCGAAAGATCCCTTCCCGAGCACCATCAAGAAATTAAAATCGGTAGCCCTAATCACATCCAATTTACCCATATTATGCGGAACATCCTTATCGGCTAAAGTGGGCTTCCTGGTTATTGACGTTTTCTACATAAACAACACAACAATATAAAAAACGTTCTCATTCGATAAAGTTACTGCTGCTGCTTCATCCCTTAATGAGCGACCATTAAATCGCATCGCCCGCCCGCTCGTGTTACCCGAAGGGTATAATTGAACAAGGATTTAATGTTAGGCAACACAGGTAGATAATGACTAATGGCATTATAAACCTAGCTACTAATTATAGCAACGCTAATTAAAACAAAATACTCGAATTGACGCTGCAGCTATTACAGAAATACCCGCCCAATAATTTCATTGCTCCTAAAGACTAATTTCTCTACGATGATTGCTTGACTACTTGAAGGGAAAGTGCAACGTGTACGTGTAGTTTTCAATCGACGATCAGAACAGTTTTTCTATGGTCCAATTTGTTTTTTAGTTTCCAGATAGTCCCTGGAGAAGTATGCCACCAAAATAATCTTAATAATAGATACCTATAAGGGGTATGAGCACAATTTCAACAGATATTTGCTTTTTAAAATTCTGAATACGACCAATTGGGGAATCTATTAACTTTTTTTTTTCAAATTCTAATAATTTTGTATGGACAGTTGCAATTGATGCGTTTCGATTTATAACAAGTATACAAAGTACTAGAAAAAATGTCTTTTTTTATGAAAAACTTTGTCATTTATTTACGTCTAGGTCTACAGCTACACTCAGACTGACATTCTCATGCTTTTATCTTCTTTTCGTTTCATTTGCATCTTGGAGAGGCATTTTTCCATGATCTTCACTTCATGGTACCTGAAGATTTATAAAATAAAAGATTTTTGCTTGCATTTGCTTGATACCTAAATTTTTGATATTTATGTATCAAGTTTCATATACCCTCCTTTACCTTTGTTCAAAATAAATGAAGTATTAATAGAAAAGTTTGTTTCTTGAAAATGGTTCTATACAGCGCATTCGAGAAAAGAGCGCCACCTCAAAATCTTTTTTAATTGACGAACTACGAACAACTGGTTAAATATAATTCGGTATCACTTCCGGTTTAACAGCGGAAATCTATGTCATTTTTATTTTTCAAATGCAATGCCCATGTGTCTTTACGATATTTGAAAAGAACAATCAATTTGCTGTACGACAACATAAAATATGAATATAATAATAATAATAATAATAATAAAATAAAATAAAAATAAAAAAGGGTAATTTAATAAATTCCATGGACGAGAATGAAACTTATAAGTATCTTGGTTTTCAGCAAAACACACACATTAAACATACGAGTATAAAACAAACACTTATCACACAATACCTACAAAGAGTACGCAGTATACTTAAAACAAAATTACACGGTAGAAATACAATCAAAGCTATTAACACTTATGCCACACCAGTGCTTACATACTCTTTTGGGATTATACGTTGGACAAATACAGATTTAGAACAAATACAGAGAAACACACGTACACTATTAACAAAACACCATATACATCACCCTCACTCCTCTACTATACGACTTTACCTTCCTCGTTCGGAAGGAGGTAGAGGACTTACAGATATAAAAATATTGCACCAAACACAAATACACAATTTGCGGCAATACTTTTATAACAAAACAGATACTTCAGTCCTACACAAAACAGTAACATATGCAGACAAATCTTACACACCACTTAACCTACACGAAACTAATATACTCCCACCTCCATCCAAACTTACATACATCACAAATAACATACAGACATGGAACCAAAAGCCGTTACATGGACGATTTCCGCAAGAGGTTAGTCAGGATTGTGTTGATTCTATAGCAACGCACACTTGGTTGTCTGAATGTGATATCTTCCCGGAGACTGAGGGTTTCATGTTAGCAATACAAGACCAGGTCATTAATACACGCAACTATAAAAAACACATACATAAAGACAAAACAGTGACAAACGATTCTTGTCGACTCTGTTCACAAACATCAGAAACAATCCAACATATAATATCGGCATGCACACGACTTGCACAAACTGAATACAAACATCGACACGATCAGGTAGCTAAAATCATACATCAAAAATTAGCACTTAAACACAATCTCATAACAGATAAGACACCATACTACAAATACACGCCACAGATCATACTTGAAAACAACACACACAAATTATATTGGGACAGGACACTACTCACAGACAAAACTATCCACAATAATAGACCAGATATTACACTTATAGATAAAACGCAAAAATCCATTTGTATTATAGACATTGCCATACCCAACACTAACAACTTAACTAAAACACATGCAGAAAAACACCGCAAATACACCGATATAGCTATCGAGCTTAAGACGCAATGGAGAATGAAATCTACTGTTATAGTTCCCATTATTCTTAGTGCTACCGGAGTTATACCAAAGACAATACACCACAATTTACAACTATTAGGTTTGGACAAAAACACATACAAACATTTACAAAAAGCAGTCATTATCAACACATGCCATATTGTTCGTAAATTTCTAAACATAACACAAGATACTACATACAGAAATGATCCACAACGTATACATGTAAACAACAGCACTCCCTCACAACACGGTACACAACATACTGTAATATCTCCACCTCTAACCCAAACAAACACACAAATACAACTTACCGAACAAACAAGTACAACAAATGATACAACATATACTACATTCAGAGATTCACCTCTGAAGCAAACCACATTATCACGACCCATTAGTATTCAACCCAAACGCAAAAGCCTAAACAGCACTTTAGACTCACAACATGACACACAACATACTGTAATATCTCCACCCTTAACTCAACCAACCACACAAACACAACTTCCTGAACAAACAAACGCAATAAATACAAGTAACGCAACATGCACTACAAAGACGCCCTCACCCAATAAAGTTACACGGCCTGCACAGCTAAAAAACACAATACTCTTTCCTCTCAGAAACACACCTCGTTATCACAACCCACTCGTACTCAACGCAAACGCAGCAACCTTAACAGCACTAGAGGCTCACAAAATACCGTAATGTCTCCACCAATAATGCGAGCAACAACACAAACACAACCTCTAGAACAAAGAAACACCATAAATACAAGTAACGCAACTTGCACTACAAAGACAGGTCCACCCAATAAAGTTACACGTCCTAGCACAGTTAAAAAACACAATACTCCTTCTTCACATAAACACACCACGTTATCACAACCCACTCGTATTCAACCGAAACGCGAAAACCTTAACAGAACTACACGCTCACAACATACTGTAATATCTCCACCAAAAACCCAAGCAACAACACAAATACAACCTCAAGAACAAAGAAACACCATAAATACAAGTAACGCAACTTGCACTACAAAGACAGGTCCACCCAATAAAGTTACACGTCCTAGCACAGTTAAAAAACGCAATACTCCTTCTTCTCAGAAACAACCCACTCGTATACAACCCAAACGCAAAAACCTTGACAGCACTACTAGCTCACAAAATACTGCAATATCTCCACCAAAAACCCAAGCAACCACACAAATACAACCTCAAGAACAAAGAAACACCACAAATACAAGTAACACAACTTGCACTACAAAGACAGGTCCACCCAATAAAGTTACACGTCCTAGCACAATTAAAAAACACAAAACTCCTTCTTCACAGAAACACACCACATTATCACAACCAACTCGGATTCAACCGAAACGTGAAAACCTTAACAGAACTACATGCTCACAACATACTGTAATACCCCCACCAAAAACCCAAGCAACCACACAAATACAACGTCAAGAACAAAGAAACACCATAAATACAAGTAACGCAACATGCACTACAAAAACAGGTCCACCCAATAAAGTTACACGCCCTAGCACACTTAAAAAACACATAACTCCTTCTTCACAGAAACACACCACATTGTCACAACCCACTCGTATACAACCGAAGCGCAAAAACCTTAACAGCACCACAGGCTCACAAAATACTGCAATATCTCCACCAAAAACCCAAACAACCTCACAAATACGACCTCAGGAACAAAGAAACACCATAAATACAATTAAAAAACACAAAACTCCTTCTTCACATAAACACACCACGTTATCACAACCCACTCGTATTCAACCCAAACGCAAAGCCAAAGAAACACTTACACAATAAACTCTATTTAATAAAATTACAGGAATTATTATAATGATATTTTTGTTTTGTTTTCTTCTTTCCTGATAGCGTTGACTATTGTGGCCATTAATAGCTATGTTGGTAAGTATGAATTACATACTATCCCTAGATTTCCAATGTGAGTGTGTGAATATTTTTTTTTTTTTTTTTCTTTAGAACCCTACATAACTTCACCAGACACAGACACTAATCGTTACTTGATTTTAATCCGTGCGATTAGTTAACCAGGCTAGACCTGAGTTCTCACAAGAAACACCGACCATAATAATAAAGTTTATTATATATATAAAATATACAAAAAAATAGAGAAATTCGATATTCAATGTTTACAAAATTTATGAAAACTAGCACGCCGTGTGCTGTCAGGATGCGCAGGGGGTCGTATTGCGCAAAAGTAAATCATTGAATTTTCTGTCTCATATAGCACATGGCATGCTAGATTTCATAAATTTTCACGAATATCTCCATTTTTTTGTATATCAACCATATGCATATTTTATGTTGTACGGAAAATTGATTGCTCTTTTCAAATATCTTAAAAAAACATACGCATTGTATTTAAAATACAAAAGTTGCATCGATTTCCAGTCAAACCGGAAGTCATGCCGGAAATTGCAATATGCGATCGGATAGATCGTAATGTCACATATAAAACTATATTTGACACAGTTTTCGTATCTCGTAAGATAAAAGAATTATTGATATGAATATTTTGAACGCACTGTATATACACAGCAAACCTTATCTGATATAAAATGAAATGTGGATTTATAAAAAAATCGGTACGTATCACGCGAATGTGGAAGTAAAAACATAGAAAAATGTGGGAAACTTAAATGCCTTAAAAGTTTAAGAAATTGTACCATGTAGAAGTATATACTGGATGTCCTATTAATAAAGGTCACAGGGGAAAAAGATTATGTTGACAAAAGCGGCCAAGAGAAATCGCTGGAAAGTTTCTAGGTTTGCATTGCATTGGGGTAAAAAATAACACCCACTTTTTTGACAGAAATACACGTTTTGAAGCACCAGTACCTCATTTTCAGCTAAACGACTGAACTGATTAGAACCATATTTGGTACCTTAGACATAAAAGGGCAGAATCGCTGAAACAACTTCCTCTGAAGACTTTACAGTAACATTTTCCAAGAATCACAGCAAATTTTTTCAAGATTGCTTCGCGAGAGGCGCAGCTTCAAGTTTTCAAACTCGCCAGATTATTTAGGACGTTAAACTCTAGGTCTGTGCCATATTTCAAAACTGTCAGAATTTTGCATGGTCAAATGCCTATATCAGGGCTGCTCGTTTTTAACGGGCGGGCCAGTGACGAAGACGCGGACGAAGATCATTATTTTCGTACTTTGAGAACTTATGCAATAAATTAAAAAATTCGAAAGTGGCACTCGAGTGACTACTCCTTTCTCTCTCACAATTCTTCGTTCCCTTCTTTTTGTCGTGAACTATCATAGAAAAAATAATGCGAGATCGAGGGGTTCGAACACGCATTTTCATAATCTACCAGGTGAACCATGTTGTATTTTCAACAAGAAGTATTCTTTCATGGCCAGTGTCATCCGACCTAACTTGCTTAGGGTACCCATTTAATAAAAAGACTTCTTTCATGTAAAATCTGATTGCGAAGAGAGCTCCTTCCAATGTAAAAATCGGTTACCCTAAACCGAAGTTACATTAAATTCCTTAAAGAAATGTTCTCTTCCCCCACCCCTTATTTTTTATCAGCCAGAGCAATATTGGCTGCAGTAAAATGATGCATTTGTTATGCATATTTGGGGGGTATATTTTAAAAACGAAACTCATTTTTCTGCTGAACCTTTAATTTTATGCCCTCTTGCGGCAAAACCTAGAAACTTGAAAATAATTCCCCGCGATTTCTCTTGGCCGCTTTTGTTAACAAAACCTTTTTCTACAAGCTGTGAAATTAACGGTTCCATAGCTATGGGGTGCGACCTTTAGTAATAGGACACCCTGTCCAAGATAGGATGTCTATCATGGGGATTTCCGAAACCATTGAAGATACGGCGGTGGTCAAATTAGAAAAAAGTAATCAGAATTTTCTGGTATTCTTTACAGCTCTTTAATTGCGCAACTTTGCCTTATAATTTGACCATCTTCGTATCTTCTATGGTTTCCAAGATCTCCATGATAGACATCCTTCTCTTGGACACAGTGTATATATTCGTAGGTATATTGGGAGATCATACCGGACTCGGCTTTTTTCAATCTGAACCGCACCCCCTAAAATTGTGTAGTTTAAGTAGTAGACGCCGACATTTATATTTATGTGACTGCGAGAAAATTCTACTAATACGTTCCTGGGACATTGAATTTTACACAATAATATCTCCTTCACACTGCATTTCAAAGGTTTCTTATAGTACCTAAGTATATTTTTATGTTGGTGGAAAATATATTTAAACAATTTATAAAAACATTTTCAAATGATCTATAAAAAAGGTTCACTAAAACCCTATCATGAGCCTGCTTTCGTGGTATATTTTTCGTAAAAATGATAAAGTACCTCGTGTAGATTCAAGTTTGTCGTCAGAATAAGGATCATTCAAATAAATTATCTCAATTAGAAAGTGACGTATTTACTGGAAAAAGGCGTTTTATAACGTCTTCTGGGTTACGATTCACGAAATACCTTTAATTAACGAAAAACGAGGAGGAATTTATCCGAAAGCTCGGGTGTCGTAAAATAATGACTAGGCATTAAAAGTGGAAAAGAAATGGGATCAAATCTGTTCTGTGTCTAACTAGGAGAAATTAATCGATATTGCTAGAAGCGAACCTTTATTTACAAAACAATTGGGAAAGCTAATAGGAGAACTGAATCAATCAAACATCCGCTTTTGACAATTAAACAGCACGCAACAAGCCGGCTATTCAATGGACTTCAATGAAAGAATTCGAGTAAGCTGTACTTTAATTAACGTTGTTAGAGCCTTTTTAAACACATATAGTCTTCCTTACTCTAATCTGCGCCTTCATTTGAGCCAAATCGACTCCTTCCTCCGGCACGGGAACGTTATAAAACTCGCCCTCCTCCTGTGTAAGTAATTTGAACCAACCATCGGTGGATGATTTAATTATTTCGGATATGCCAAAAGATAAAGATCCCATAAAATCATTTCGAGAAGTGCGATCCCAATCCCAAACTTCAATTAAAAGACGACGATCTTTGTCTTCCGGCTTTAATTCGCTAGAAATTGCGCTAATTTGGTACTAACTAAATTATGGTAATTGACTTACAATGTTAGAGTTTCATTCCATACAGGATTAAGGTTAGCGCGGATTGTCTTAGTTTTCTTTTTAACGTTATCATTATCTGGGATTAATTTAATTTTAACGTAGGGATCGCTAGCTCCATTAGGATCCATTGGTATCAAATTTCTTCCTTGGCACACTAAAACGTTGCTTTTTTTTATTAGAGCGTTTTGTTGAATCAATATCGTTTACCTTCAACTGACAGTTTATTTCCAACACAATTTACCTTAAGCTGAATACGACCACGTCGCTCAGTGTGATCGCACCCGCACAAATTTGGCGTACTTTCAACGCATCGTTTGTGCACATTCATGTCACATGCTGTAAAAATGCGGATTTTATTCACATCCTGTAGCCTAGACGCTGGTTAAGCTTACCTGTACATTTCATCCCCTGGTGGATCACCCCGTAGAGTAGCGATCCGCAATGGTCACAGAATGTTGGCGATGCATACGTATGCGATTTGAAATTGTGACGAGTTCTTGTGTCCTAAAAGTGGAAATCAACCAGTTAGAAAATTGATTGTGGCTACAAATACGAAAAGAATTAACATGACAATAGGTGTTATTTCTATGGATTCGTGCAAGTCCGTGACATACTATTTAATGAGATTGTTGCATACTTCAAAGCGGATGTAACCGGATCACCGATCTGTTCATGTCAACTCTTTACATCTACTCTAGAAACAAAAAGGGGTATACAAGTAAAGCACCCTACATTACTAGTGACCATAAAAGCGCATCGATAGATCACATTTCGATTTTATTCACTCATTCCACAATATAAACACAATTGCACTTGCATACATCGACGCGACAAACTTGTAAGGGGCGGGCATGTTTTTTTTTTCGGGTGAAATAACCTCTTCAGTCTCATAAAGGGTAGTCGTTTCACAATAATGGACGCCAATCACGCTAACCCTAACGCACCTATTAATAGACTTAATCATTACATTATGTAAGCTTTGTAAATTACTGCGGGAATAAATTTAATTTTAAACGTCTTAGAGTGGAGGTTTTGACAAACGATGCGTTGTTTTATAGCTGTCGGCAGGGGAGGATGTCAGCTTCTATGCACAGCAAACTTGATACTCTTCTCTTCTCAATGGGGTGATAAAATGTGTCAACAATTTTTACATCTATCTTTTTCAATTGCAAGGTTAGCGGTCGTAAGAAAATATGAAATATGAAGGGCGTCATATAAATCATCTTTTCCATTTTGAGGATGCCGTTAGACTATAAACAATTTTTTTCTTGATGAGCTTTTAGAAGGGGATTTCAGTGCTCACGGGTTGTCGAGCTAGAAATATGTTAAAAGTTTACTTTAATGTCTATTAGGGGGTTAACAAACGATACTTGTACGTGCTCGCAAATTTACATTTAAATGAAATGAAGAATAGCGCTTTTTCAATAGGAATGGTAACAACGTTGGAATACAAATTGAGCAATTTCGGCGGTAGCAATACTTTTGTTTACAGACATACTGAAATAGAGTTCCAAGTTAAAGTACGACATACGAAATCATTTTCTGCAGTTAAAGCGCTGCCATTTTCATGAACAAGTCAAATGTGGTACAAGTAAGTTGAAATTTACCGCACTCAAATAATTAAAGATTTGTTTAATTTAGTACCAAGAAGTAAGATAAATTAAGATCTTTTAAATAGCGAATATTTGTCAGTGATTTTGACCTATCACGGGTCGAAACTTGCTGATAGCCCAGCGGAACTGAATAGTGAGTTACTCCCTGGGAGCTGGTCAATAAGAAATAGAAAATGATATGCAAAGGTTAGGTGGTTGGAGAAAGGTCACAGACAATTTCTTTGACAAGAAATATGAGACTAGCATGCTTTGGAATCTTATTTTACTTAAAGGACCTTTAACCATTACTGTTAACGTTGGTGTAGCGAACTCATCAATTTAGTTAATGGTGTGTTTAATAAAGCAGTTAGCATAACATGCAAGTAGCAAAAAGGTGTAACATGCAAAGTACGTGCAAAGGAAATAATGTCATATATATCAAACATTATTTTACACTTCTTTTTTTAGTTAATCACACTTATATTACATGTATATGATTCTTCTAACACTTTCATAAACTAATAACAATTATTTACCTTTTTTATTCTTATTTTTATATAAAAATTTTATCTTTTTTGGTTTAATAAAACAATTGATATGGGTCTTCTGAATGGATGTATCTGGAAGAGCTTAGTCAGAATACTCGGGTAAACATCTGACACATGAGAGTTTTGTTGCTCGAGAGTGTCACATGCTGGAAAAAATATTTGGAAATTACTAAAAGTATACATAATTCAAGTAATGCACTACAAACTACTAAATACGTAATAGTGAGTTTGAAAATGGGGAAAGATTTAAGTAATCAAGCGAATTAGACAAAGGTGCGTGTACAAGATAAGCGTAAGGAGTCAAGAAAAAACGTTATATAAAGCATACGTAGGAGAAGAAATATAAAAAATCTAGAGGTGCTTTAAATGACCAGAATGTTTGAAATATCATTTCACCTAAAGGGATGCAAATTCAAAGTAATTGTAAACATGCAAGGTAGTTCGATTAAACTGAACTCAGACTGTGTCAACCTGATGGCAAATCTCTCACCTGTAACGATTTCACATTTCAAATAGCGTGGATTTTTAATATCGACCAAAGACCAACAAAGAACCCGGTTTTGCTTTATGTTTTTATTTGAAACACTGAAGTTCAGTGCATGTTCTAAAATTAATGTGGTAATACTTAATAACATTATTTGTAAATTGCTCAAAAATTAAAGGCCTCTTTTGTTGATGAGAATTCATTATAATCTGAAATTTTTGAAAATAGAAAATTACAAAAAGCTCTCTGTCGCCTTTATTTCAAATCTTGCAGGAAAGCGGAACTTTTTTATAGAGCTATTCAAGACGCAGCTTTTTTGTATCTAACATTTTTCTGTATGATGTTTTCGAGAAAGAACCAACTAAAACCAAACTTAAAGAAGGGTAAGCATTTTACAAAAGTCCTCTGGCGTTTTTATTTTGAACTCCTCGCGAAAAGTGTATGCGACTTTTTTGTAGAGCTCGTCAAGACGCAACTTCTTGCGATTAATATTTTTCGCTACAATTTTTAGTTTGAGAGAACAATGCATTAAAAGAATTTAAAAAAAGTGAAAATTTACAAAACTGGCTGTTTTATTTCGAATCTTATGCAAAAAGTGTTTATTTTCCTTTATACTTTGCATGTACTCGGAAAGTAATAATGGACATTGAATTTTGTTAAATAATAAACAAACGTTGTATTACGATGTACCCTATTTCTTTCGTCTAATTCGCCAATACAATCCAGCAAATATCCATTGAGAGTATCCAGTCCCGGAAATTTAATTATCTCCGTTATTATTAATAATAATTGGTGGGCTTACATAACAAATATTAAGGCATTAATAATGTTTCGTGTATGTTTGTAGAATCCTGGGTTATCCTTAGCAATTTTCTAGTTAAGACATGTGTTTGATACTCTCATGCTCCAGTTTGCTTGAAGCTCTAGAGCTATATCCGTGTGTTAGCGATGTTTTTCTGTATGGGTTAATATAGTCAAGTTGGAATGGCAATGGCTATTAAGTAAATAGATTTGTGCATTTTACTTATAAGTGTAATGTCTGCTCTATTCTGTGAATAGTTTCATCTGTGAGTAACGTACTATCCCAATATAATTTATGTGTGTGGTTTTCAAGTATTATCTGTGGAGTGTATTTGTAGGATGGTGTTATCTGTTATGAGATTATGTTTAAGAGGTACTTTTTGATGCATGGCTACTATTTGCATTTGCGTTGGACGGTTTCTCATGTTTTTGAACAGAGTTGTTTTTTATAGTTGCGTGTAGTAATCACTTGGTCCTGTATTGCTAACATTATTATTATTACTGTAATTGTTCAAACAAGTAAATACTTAAGATTTAAACTTACACGTATTGGCAGGGATAAGACGTTAAATAATGAGCACATTAAAACACATTAATTTATTGGAAGAAAAACTAAATTTATCGCAATCCATTACTCATACTGGTCCTTGTCGTCTCTTTATTCGGCCTCGAATAGAATTTATTATAGATGACGGGTTTAATGATCAGAGACTAATGAGATTTTTATCGTTATGAATAAATCCACGTCCTCCCTTCATTGTTTATATTTTGTAGTTATTACAGTTTGGGAAAATTTAATAGTTTACTTGATATGATACTTTCTTTAGTAAAGCTACGAGTAGGATGCGGTGTCAGAGACGATTATTATGTGGAAAACTAATTCGAATGATGGATTTTTGAAAAGTTGTTCGTATGGGTTATTCAGTAAGGACGTTTCAGCTAATTTTCCTTCAGTTTTATACGGCTTACGGTTGTACAAGGGTTTGGTTTACATACCGTTATATTAAATGTGGTGATCTAACTTTTACTTATTTTCTAAATGTACTCAAAATTTGGAGTAAGATTGCTTTAAACCTAAATCAAGCGGTTAATAATTGTTTGAGTTTTCTCGAAATTGAGAAAATGGTTTACAAAGTAAAATCCTTTTTTAAAGATGTACGCGAGGTAACCTATTATTAACGTGCGACCCGGATTTTGGATTTTCTGTCAGTCCGTCTGTGTACAGCGTGGTTCAAATTCGTGGAGATAAAGTGTAGGTTAAATGGAGGAAAAGTGGCCCCTGTCTGTGGCTAAAAAAACACAAATTTTTTAAAAGTAACTGAGAATATCACTGAAAAACTGAATATGCCAAATTTCATTTTCATTTTCCTTAGCTTATAGCCTTATACGGTCGGAAATAGACGGTTCCCGTTAGCACCTTCTAGGGGCACTTTTTTTGGGAATATCTAAATCTGTTATCACTCTTATCAGAATTTCTACAATACGCTATAGGTAGAAGCTACAGACTTTCTTATTTCTTATGGACGCCATATTGGATTTTTACGTTAATTGATAAGACCTGGAATTTTTTTTTATTTCAAATGGACACAGAATGGGAAAATGTTGAACTGTCATTTTTAATATTAGTCTCTTATTGTAGATTTAGTCGGTCATTGTTTAATTTATTTAATTTTATGTCTTGTATTTAGTTTGCATGATAAATTTAAAATGCATAAATAAGGGTACATTTTTTCGTAATTTTTACGCGAGTTAAAAGTGTTATTTGGTCAGATGTTAGTAGACAGATATTATTGGGCAAAAATTAATTAGTTTTGCCATAAACAATGCCGCGTGCGAGATAAGCAATGCAGGTGGTTAGCAGTTCGGGCTACTGTGCGAAATTTCAAGTATCGCCGAAGAACAACATTGTTGAATTTATTAGTGAAAGTGGTAATATAAATGGTGTGTCAATTTAAATCTCAGTACGAAATTCAGGTAGAATTTTATTTTTCTGCGTCAAATTTCTTCAAGATGAAGTTAGTACTTTTCTTGTTGTGTCGGATCCCAGTCGTACCCTGAGAAAATGTTAAAAAGAAAAAAAACTGTAATTGGAGATAGCTCCGTTGGGCGGTATACTGATCGCATATCATTACACACAGCGTTATTTGTTTGACGCCCAACGTGGGGTCACCGCATATTTTATTTTTATTTTGTTGCTTGTCCTGATGAAGCTCCTTAAACAAGTGGACGAAACGTTTCATTCAACATTGACACGGCCTATTCTGAAGTCGCTTGCATATTAACATAATAACCACCTTGGAAAAACCAAAAACTCAATTAAAATAATCCATGGAGAAATCAAAAGACTAAAACAGTGCTAGCTGCTTGGACCGAGCAAAATATCCGGAACCAATTTCAATAGAGATCAATAAAACCCTACTTGGTGGTTGAATCTGAAACCAAGCCGGAAGTGGTACACTATACTCATTGCTTGAACTTGCTGTATGGTGAATGTGCGACTGCTTTGAAATGTTTCCAAGTTACGTACAAACCTCTAGAAATGCGTTCATGTAACTACACGGGTAATAATTAATGTTGTATGAGCGTTATGGAGACTAAAGAAACAACCCTATTGTATGCAGACTTAAGCAGGGATGTTTTTTTACTAGATCGTTTAATCAATGTTGTTACTTTCATAGCGGTTGGCCGCCACAATACTGAAATACGACAATAAAATATAAATGGGGATAGATAGAACTGAAGCAAAGAAAAATTACCTCGACGCGACTTTCCAATGTAGGTACAAATCAAACATTTCCGTCCTTCGTCGGCGTAAAATAAATATAAATAGGCGCTCCACAAAGTATCCTCAATGGTAGGTTTTACGGTTCTGCCTTTAGAATTAGAATAGCTAGGTAGTACAAAAACGAACGAGAATGGCCCGCGGAATTATTAAAATAAAAGGCAAAAGGGTGCCAGCATTGGAGAGATAAAACAGCAGTTAATCGACCTATAAAATCAGAAACATACAAAGGAAGGGCCATAAGCCAGGAAGAATATAGGAAGCGAAGCACAAAGGGGCATTAATAATGCAAGATAACTGTAATACTAAAATCTAAACTACAATAATGGCGCCGGTACTGGTAGTTTTCAGGGCGAAGTTTCGTAGGCGAAAGGGCAACCGTGACCTCTTCCAAATCACTTCACCGCATCGAAAAACTTTTGGGTACATTTCATTAAAATTCATGGGCAAAGAAGGTGGAAAAATCACTCGAACAGCTCAATTTAGATGACACTCGAACGCTAAAGACGACACGATAAAGTTTGAATGGAAAACCGGTAGTTTTCATATTTTATTAGAGCTATCGTCGTTTTAATAATTTCCCGTGGAGATCCTCCCCTTCTCAGTGAAAATTGTTGGTATCGTCCTTCCCTATCGATCATTACGTTTTATTCCTTATCTTATACCTCTACGTAATTGTACTCAATGGTCTTATTCTGCATCTGTTACACCTGCAGGAAAACTTATCGAATGTTTCCGGAAAAGTGCGCATTAATTACCAAGTTTACGAGATCGGAGCCGAGCTCCGGGCGACTACTGTGGAAAACTAACCCCCATTTTGTTGCACACGTCTTACTCTACCTTTAACTGACATCTGTCGGAGACACATTTGGGACTTCAAAATTTTAACAAAGGTCCATTTCCCTTCGAACGTGTCACGAGAAGCAGGGGAGAGCGGTTTTCCTTTTTATTTGAAGTTCGATATTGGAATTTGTTCGGATAACAAATTAACTGGAGGGCTCTTATAAATCACAAAAGACGTCGCATACCTGGTTATGTAAATGTAACTTCGAGAAAAAGAGTTTGAATCACGAAAAGGA